TTTGTTCCACTCACTGGTTAGGTTTTATATGGGTTTTTTTTTTTTTTTTTTTTTTTTTTTTTCCCGCTTAGCTCTAATTCCTTTTGCAGATCTGTTCAAGCCCTTGTGACCCTCAAAAGCGGACCTGGCGACACGTAAACCGTCGAAGGCAATTTGTTGTAGTAATCTGCCACAAAATGTCAAGACTGTCTGTAGAAAATGTAAATAGTACGATTGAAAGCTGGTGAATAAAATAGTTTGCCACAAAAAGATTTCATTTATTACACAGCAGAGATTTCCGTAAATTCGTTTATATGGATAGATAATTTGAAAAATTAAAAGCCAATAAAAATTAGAGGAAGTATCAAGTTTTATATTGTGGACAAGAACCAAATGCAGGAAAAATATTTTACAGTCTGCGATTTATTTATTCCTTTCTTTAATAGAAAACGGAGAAAGGCATCAAGAGGTTTTGGCTTCAGCGATAGAACGAATCTTAATTTCAGAAAAAAATGTAAAAGAGAAAAGTCGGAATAATTGCTGAATAATTTTTGCTTCACTCGTACATGGAAAAGGGTACAGAAATATTTTTGATAGACTCTTTTTCCACCATCGGTTAACAAGCTTAAATTTATTTCATTTAAGACCCTCGCTCTAGAGAAAATTTGTATTTTTAAGTAAGGAAATATTTTTAATATTATAAAAAAAATCATTTAATGAATCTCAGAGGTACGATTAAAAATGGGGTTTTATTTTTCAAGTGACCGAAACTCTCTGAGTTTTGAACCTCAAAGAATTAAAACAAAAGCTTGTGTTACTAATGTGCCATCGTGTTGCATCCTGAAGTATATCATTGATCCTAAATTAATAAATTGTTACGTTATTTTCTTCCTGTGCGTTCGTACGGGGTTCGTAGATTTGGAGTGAATAACGACGACACTCGATGAAGTATCGAAACACACGTACCAATATTAATCAGATAGCTCCAAAACCACTTTTACAGTCCTCGAACTGTTATAAAACGCTGACACGTTCAGCGACACAGCCTTCACACTATCAGGTAATAACCGTGGAAACGGCTTCACTGCAAAGCACCAGAGTACAGCTCCCAACTCTGCTTGGTCGTTCTCGGAACTCCACGTACTCTCGAGGCTCTCCACGCTACAACACGCGGTGCACTCAACGATACACAAGAGTACAGCTGTCGACTCGGTTCCGTTGTTCCCGGAGCTCAGCACATTCTAAGACGAAACTCTAAACGCGATACACTACGAGACTCTTTCGGTGCACTCGACGACCCACCCGGCACTCGCTTCCCGGCTGTCAAGTCGATCGACACCGCAGGGATTGACTCGCTAGACGAGACATCAACTCGATATTAACTAACTCTCCACGTACCAGCAGGGTTTATATAACTTTTGGCTGGTGTTCGAGAACATTCTGGGATAAACCGGTAAGAATTCGTTCCAGAAGGTTCTCCAACCGTCCATAAACTATCGCTAATTTTGTAGCCAAATGGGCGATTTCTCGCCGAATGTGGCAACTCTGCCTTATGCTGCCATTTTATGGCAACCCTGAAACTGTTTTGTGGGGAAGCTATTTCACCGCGCCTGGACATTTCGTAACAATATTTTATTTTGAAAATATTTCACTAGCAAAACTAGGGTTTACTATTGAAAGAATAAATATGGACTTTGATGAAAGACTCGTAAAACGCCTACGTCAGATCAAAGACTCATAAAACAACTACGTCTCATTCTTCCCCCCCCCCTCTTTTCCTTCAGTCACACTCTGATGGGGACAATCATACTACAAGCTCGGGAATGACGGGCTAATTTTATGGCTGCGAGTTTGATAGTATATCTTAAATTTCACGAAAATATAATATTGGTGTGCATTTCGATCATTTACATTTGCATACATACAGATTCTCACTAATGCACCGGATGTTATATCTAATCCCGAAGATGGACAGCCTCAATTTCATTCTACCTGTCCGAACGGAATATTATAAACGATAAAGCTAAGGACATGCAGATATGGATTACACTCATTTTTGGTCTCTTTTCCGGAAATATGCGAAGTAGGAATAAAAATTCCTTATACATGCTAAAACCATATAATTAAGTTTCGGATAGCTAGCCTAAAAAGCCAGTATTTGCTTTTGTAAATAACACGAACAGATCAAAACGATCATATTAAAAAAGGAATAATAATACTGTGTTAGCAAAACTGATGTTAATTGTTTTATGAAATATAAAACTTCTCGTACATTCCTGATATCAAGGTTGTAAATATTTTGTTTGCAGAGGTATTTATATATAGCACAAATTCTTCTAGCCAAAATAAACCACCTCGATCAACAGCAGGTAAGTATGCAAAATCCCACAATGTTCTATTGTGAGGAATTTCTATCAATTCTTTTACATTGTCATAAAAGTAATACGGACGGATATGGTATAAATGAATTCGGTCATAAAAGTAATACGGTCGACAAGTGCGTTTCGAGAATAGCACCTGCGGTGATTTTTAAAAACGTTTTTTCCAGCATATATGTATTCCAGCAACAAAACTTCTCTTAGAGCTTGTTTTCGTGCTGGTTATTGAATTACTAAAGAACGTGAGGAATATAAAATTGGCGAAAAGTTAATAAACCTGTATATTAAGGACGTAAATATCTTGCAAATTTAGTAGCAAACATATTAAGGAACCGATAACTTGTCATTCTCGGATACCATCGTCTCGAGAAAATTGAGACAATGGTACATTTTACTGAAAAAACATTCGTTCAAAATTTTCGCCTTCACTGTTCGGTGAATCGATGGATCTTGTTGATTTCGCCATGCTGACAATAATCGTTATAGTTTCGATTTCTACAATCCTAAAAGATACACTGCCATGCAAAATTCCTTCCAGAAACATCTAACGGGAAAATTATTTTAGCTTATTAATAATTACACTAATTAAGTTAGGTGCGCATATTTGTGCAGATAAAGCAAAATATTTATTGGGCTCCAAGAAGGGAGTAATATCACGAATAACTTTAATTGCACCAAATATCACTGATTTTAATTGCACTGTAGAGATGAAGACAGTAATCATATACATGGTTGGTGTCTTCATCGGTGTATGGTAAATGCTTCATCGCTTGTGGTAAAACGAGTACCAATGCATTAAAGGAAGCTTAAAATGGTGCTGTAAAAATGATAATTTTATAACATTATAAGGTATTTCTCCCGCCTTCTTAGCATGCCTTCGTAGTGTAGTGGTCAGCACGCTGGGGCGTATTCCAGAGGTCCGTGGTTCAGTTCCCGGCGAAGACTTTGCTCATTTTTCATCTCTCTTGCTTCAAAAAAATACCTAATGTCTCTACAAAACCAAGAAAATCCAATCCAATTCCATATTATTTGCTTCATTATGCGAGGAATTATCTAGCGACCATAGAACTCTACTTATATTAAGAAGTCACATATTTTTCGAAAGGAGAAATTTTAAACGGATATTTTTTGTTAAAAGTTTAAGCGAAATGAGTCACGTCTATGCTCTAGAATCATCTGATGAAATGTGGTTGCATTATTTTTCCTATTCAGCTAACATGTTTGCTATTTTAAACGAAGTAAACATACACATTCAAGGACTGAATGTGCATATTATAAAAATTAAACAAAAATTTAAGCTAACATTGGTTGTCTTCATCAGTAGCATTAAACAGGGGGCTCAGCAACAACATCTCAAACTCGCAGGCGGTGCGCCCTGCAAACCAGTTGATAAGGGAAAGGAACGAGATAAGCGTGATAATTTGATAATTATCTTTTCTTGATTTTCCAGCAGTAATTTCCTTTAATTTTAGACTTTTCAGGATTTGTATTTTTCTCCATTTTCCAGATATTTTACTACGTTTACAAAGGTTATTTCTTACGTCCCATTAACAACTCTTATCCCCAGATTTAAAGATTGATTCGCACGGCCTTCATTTTAAAGGTAACTTTTTTCCCTCCGCACATTTTCAACATTTTTAGCTCCTGTGCACTCTGAACTTAACATTAATTATGTTTATTTCAAAACTTTATATTTAATAGATATTTCCAAACTTTTTTAACAATCATACTTTTAATCTTTACATTATGTGCGCAATTATTCAGATACGCGATTAATTTACTGTATTACTTAATTTTAGATGTAATTTTAAACTTCTTTCGACATTTTAACCTTCGTAAGTTTTAACGAATTTATAATTTTTCTGACGATATACAAGACATTTTTTAATTTCAAACATTATTTTTAATTTATTGAGAGTTTCACCTTTTTAATAGTTTTTAACGTGCTCGTAATTTTAACTTAATTCCTACATTTTCTTACCAGATACGTGACATTTATTTAATCTTTAATGTAATTTTTAACTTCTTTCATGCATTTTAAGATTTATAATTTTCAGCGTACTTTAACTAATTTCCTATTATATACTACATAAACCTTATTAACCCTATTATTTTAACTTTATATCTTAATGCTTTATTATTCATTAAATTTCCTCCTTATAGTACCAAATTTATTTACTGTTTCATTAAATTTTATATGTTTAAATTTCTTCATCATAAAGAGATATTTTAATTAAGCATTTAAAATTATGGCTGTTAATTATTATTCATATTTCATTGAATAGCCCTTACTTAGTCTGCATTTTATAGAACTATTTTAATTTAGATGTTGTACAATTTTGCATTCTTTAATAGTCTTACGATGACTAATTCTACTATTTTACTTCATTTAGGTATTATAATTTAACTTCATTCGCGTTTTTGACTTTTATCATTTCCTGCATATTCAGATATTTTAATATAATTTTAATACCATTTATATCTGAAGGCATGCTTAAGTTTTAATTAATATCATAAAGTTTAATTGATACAAAGTAATAGTTTGCATATGTGAAGTATAAATTTATGCTTTCGGAAAAAATAAAAAGAATGTATCAAATCCGGGAGTACTATGAAAATATATAAATTTTTCTGAGAAATGACATTTGAAGATATTTTAATGCTCTTAAAATTGTTTCATACAATGTGATTTCTTTTATGACGCATCATGAATTTTCATAAATTTTCATGAAATAGGAAAAATATCTGGTTTCTTCTTAATAGTTTTAGTATCATTCAGTAAACCTCTCATGATACTCCCTCAAATGTTCGAAATCATACACATTCTTGGAAAAAAATTCGATATGCTCTAAGAATCTACGGAATAATTAATGCGTGGTATGAAACTATAAAAATCATGCATAAAATTCAGTACATTTTCATTCTCATTATTGAACTTCTCGTCCGAAATTCTGAAACAGTGCTATTTTTAATCTTATTATTTTATTATAATTTTTGGCAAAATATTCACATCGAAACGGTAACTATAAATGGAAAAATGTAAGAATCCAGACAAGAAGAAAAACATATATTGACGCGTACTGTGGTTAAAATAGTAGCATGTTATTTTCATTCCTTCTTTTAAATCTCATTTGTACCACATAACAAAATGGTCGTGGTTTTGCGGGATGACATCCGCTGGACCTGTAATACAGAAAAACGAGAAATTACCATAACACATTTGTATATCAACAGTCATATACTATATTATTTCTGTAGAACAATCTCCTTTTTCTCATTATGTAAGTAATGAAACATTCTGAAAATGGCATTGTTAATTTTTTAACACTGACGAATACTAGTACACTGTATAAAATAAATAATTACTCGAATAATTACTGTACAATAGCCTTCCGATAGATTATGTAGATAATTTTGGACATACTGAGTTTAACATATGACGTGCAAATTCACTCACAGTTGCATTCAAGATTATTAAGCACCATTCATCTCATCCGACGATCCCTCCAAGCAGAAAGTTAGCCTCTGGCCACAACTTGGTATCATCCGACATCGTTCTCACAAATCGTAAAATTTAATTGTAGAACGAAGCTGCTATAAAAACGCAAGCAAAAAAATCAATATTTGGAGCTTTCTTGTCGTTACAGGACGATATACACCGGCACTTTCCGTGACGAAAGACAAGCACGTAAGTGTTACCTATTGCCCACTTTTAAACTTAATTTGTTTTTATCTCTTATAATCATGCTCTTGTTTTCAAAGTAACTAATGTCAATTGAAGCGTTTTAAGGTACTTCCTTGTTAAAATAGCCACCGCAGTTAGTTGCCAAATCTATCAAATTCAGTCGCACAGTCTGTAATGTGTAAGTTTTAAACATCGTCAAAGACATTTCCAATGGCCGCTTTAACAATGACATACTGTTTTTAAAGTGTGTCATTCTATTTTATTCTTTCTATACTGAAGAAAACAAACCTAAGAGAAATATTTCTTATGTTCAGAAACGATTTATTGCAGTCGATTGGTTTGGTTCATTTGATTCCATCAAAGCACGCGAGAGCTATGTGCTTAAGGAAAAAGAGCCCTCCTGGAGGACTTTATAGAAAAACTAGAACTAGCAACGTAAGCACGAAAACTTACACAGCCAGCTCATTCGCCTGGATACGAACACACACTGAGTTAACGCGTTCAGCGGCTTTACCGCTCGGCGGCTAGCGGGCTGTGAATCATTTGAAGATAAACTCCTTATCACTGGTGGGCTCCTAGTTACCACAGTCGAAATGAGCTGATTACGTTTTATAGCTGGCGCATTTATCTTTTTACAGAAAATCATTTAATGTATGTTGTCTTATAACAACAATTGGAAAACATCCTAATATTTAAATAATGACAATATGTAGGCAAACAATTCAAAATTCATATTTTAAAATTACTGTCTTTGCCACAGCCTTTATTTGATATGCCTTTGAAAGAAATCTCGCAGTCGCTTAAAGTCATACTCACGGCATACACTTGCAGGCACATCCACTTGCAGTGTCAAAATATTGAAGGCCACGGGCTGTCCAACGGCGCAAGGTGAAACATGTCGACGGTGACCACATGTCCTAATCTAATATATATCCCACGTTTCGTCTGTGTAAGGTGTACGTTATAGTTATTGTATCCATGTGGTATGTCAAATGCTTTTGAGAACTAAATTAGAAACATTGGTGTTAAATGATTTAATCGAACACTAGTCCAACTAATGAACACGACGAAAAGACATATATGTTTGCTGATAATATTTTCCGAGTAAAAACGTTTCTAACGAATTTATCAACGTCATAACTTTTTAAGACTAAATAATTTATTTAAAATGTTGATCTTTAATCTATGAAGTTAATTAATCTTTTTATCTTTGGATTATTAGATTAATTAACTTCATAGATTCAAAGATAAAGACTAAATTAATCTATTTATCTTTGGATTTTTTAGATAGAAAACTACAAAGGAAGAAACAATATAAATTGCACTTTTGAACTTACTCTTTGTAATTGGCAGATACTTGATTTCGTCGTTTTCTTTTTTTACAAAAAGAGGAAACCAGTATTTTTCGTTTTCGGGATCGTCCTGAAAATCATATAGCGAGAAGATGTAGGGCTTTCCTTTTTTCACGTTGTACTGGAAGCTGCAAAAGAAATGAGAGCACTGTAAGTAGAAAACATGAACAACTAACCACTTGTTTATAATTTCAGCCTGTACTGTAACATCCACTTTCCGTTTCCTCACCAGAATGTAAATCAGTTAGGACATATTTAAGCTGATGTTTTTGGATTGTAAGGTAGAGCATGGTTTCTGCGTTTTGCGGCCATATTACGCCAATTCCTCCCAGCTCTCAAAAATAATATATAATCATTCGGCTTTTCCTTAGTGCTGTCGACATTAGAATTTGATACGCAGATTAGAAGTTCTGAGCCAGCTTAGATTTAAATTTAATTGTGTAGTCTTTGAGTACTATCCTACGATTTTAATTGAAATTGACGATAACTTTCTTTTATCACCACAAGTTGTGGCTGAATTGTTAGCACAAGAGCCTGCATTTATGTTCAAAGTTTATGTTTAAATAAAAAGGTTTATTTTAAACCTTTCCAAATTTTTGTAGTTATTTTCAAACATAGCCATAGTTCGCTTTACGGCTGGTAGTGTCTGATACAATTTAACTTTTGCCAGATTAAGTAAAACCTTATAAATGTATTCTTACAGCAGACTCTCAATTTAATGACAGAAGATCTGTTTGAGCAGTTTCAAGTAATCTTTTTATTGCGCATCTGAGAATAAAAGCCATTAGATGGTCTCTAGTGATTGGAAGATGGGTTTTGCATGCAAAATAAAATAGAAAATTGAAAAAAGAAACTGAACTTTTATATTTCTCATCTCTGTAAGAAAGAAAAAGAGTTGTTAGAGACAAAAATCTGATTTATCTCGAAAAGTGATGCCACTGCTCGCTTTCAAATCGTACAGTTTTTTAATAAAAAATGTCCACGTTTTACAAAACATTAAATAAAAAGAGCACTGCTAAACATTAAATAGATTATTATTATAAAAACCTGAAAGCTTTCATATTTTATAATACCCAAAGGGTCCCTTTAATGTTGTGTTACCTTTACTTATTGAACATCATGTTCTTCGCCCTTGAAGCATAAAATTCAATTAAACAGCAATATCGCAAAATATTTTTTAAATGAGTATATCTTTAGAATTTCCGATACACAGTTTCGCGCTGAAAACACAAACTTTTGTTTCGGTACAGTGTTGCCATTGCTCGCTTTAAAATAGTTGAGTTTGTTAATAAAAAATCTGATGTGTACACCACATGGCTTCCTTATACGGACTATTAAATTATATGCATTTTTTTTTTTTTTTTTTTGCATTTCATTTAAACTTAATGAATTGAATTAAATGTAAACTGGTGTGCAAAACTTAAGCAACAATGTAAAGATTTAGAAGATAGCCATAAAACTGCAGAGAAGGAGGTCTGGAGATTAGTACAAGGAACACATAAGTCAGTAGAAACGCCATGCGTATGCAAATATCAGGAACGAAACTTCAGGGGCGACATGAGCGTACACAAAACGCGTGATGTCAGCAGGACGGAGACGCAATTCAACATATTCGCTGCAAGTGTCAGTCAGTCAGTTCGTGAAATATGGCTAGAAGAAATCACCTGGACGACTTCACACGTGGAAGAATGATCGGAAAGCTGGGGGAGGGGCGTGCTATCACCAGTGTAGCTGCAGTTCGGAATCAACAAAAGTGTCGTTTCGCGTGCTTGGAATGCGTTCCAAACAACAGGTACAGCTGTTAGAAAGGTTGGTGGTGGCCGCCCGAGGACGACAACTGCAGGGATGACCGAATTATATCGTCTTGCAGGCGAAAAGAGGCCGACAGCAGTCAGCAAGCGCCATTGCTAAGCAACTCTGTACAGCAACGGGGCGACAAGTGTCGTGGTTTACTGTGGCCAGACGCCTGTCGTCCTGAACGCTGCCTCACGTTGAAAATTGGCCACCGACGCCACCGTTTACAGTGGTGCAGAGAGCACAAAACTGGACAACTGATCAATGGAGTCGTGTCCTCTTTACGGATAAGAGTCGGTTCAGTACCAGAAGAGATTCTCAACGCATTTTCCTTTGGAGAGAGGTCGGAACCCGGTAACATCAAGGAAAGATACCGTAACGGTGGTCCTGGAGTTCTTGTCTGGGAAGGCATTATGCTGAACGGGCGAACTGAGCTTCACGTTTTCGACAGAGGGTCTGTAACCGAGAATCGCTATTGTGAGGAGGTACTCCTTTCCCATGTGCGTCTGTTCCGAGGTACAATTGGCCCAGACTTGAATTTATGGATGCAATGCAAGGCTACGTCGGACTCTTGCTGTTGAGGAGCTACTGGAAAATGAAGATATCACTCGAATGGATTGGCCAGCGTACTCCCCAGATTTAAATTCCATCGAACATGTGTGGAATGCTTTGGGGAGACGCATTGCAGCACGCTTACATCCTCCGGAGAACACCCAAACACTCAAACAGATGCTGATTGAGGAATGGATACTCCTACCGCAAGAAATGTTGCACCAGCTGGTTCTGAGTATGCGGAGACAGTGCGAAGCAACCATTGCAGTGAGGGGAGGGCATATCCCATATTAAGGAACATCTGCTTGTTGTTCTTCCTCTTGGATAGACAATCATGAGTCACGATACTATGCTTTCAATAAAGCTTGTTTTCGTTTGATTCCATACCGTATGCATTGTATTCCTTTTTCAGATCCGATGCTTTCGTCATCCTTAATACTTTCCTTCATTTCTGCATTTCATGTCTGTCAGTTGATTTCTCGTGAAGTTATGGCAAAAACCTCTGCTGTTGCTTAAGTTTTGCACACCAGTGTACTTCGTCGATAGCGCACAACCCACAAATAGAAAAAATAAATGCACTCTTTAAAATTCACTATCTTTGTTTACCATAGCGACACTCTGGCGCTGGTTCACTTAATATTTCGTTCATATTATAACTCAGAATGCACAAAATTTATATCATCTGAAGAATTATCTAATCCTTGCCACATGTTCTATTCAAATAATAAAATAAATCTGAAACGACGTATAAATGAAATTAAACAAAGAAAAAAAAAAATAAACAGTTTTTCAGAGACGATTTATTATTTCTCACTCAATTAACTCAGTTCTCACTTCGCAACAAGGCAAAAATACATAAAAACTCAAAATATCTATATTAAAAATTACGAAGTAAATCTTAATTTTATTTCCTCGAATAAATTCCAGAATGGATTAAGCATGATTTAATTCGCAATAATAAAAGAAGGCGTTATCTTTGTTGTTGCGAAGCTTAGTTTCTCTAGATTGGCAACAAATCAACTAGTCTGCTGTTTCAAATGTAAACAAGCAATGGCCGCCATCAAAAACATTATTAGGCTTAGCGGCACTTAGACAACTTTAAAATTCCTGATAATTCTAAAATATTGCATACAGATTTACTAAAGGCATAAAAACCTTAACCGGAAGATAAAAATAACATAATACAATCATTTTTAAAGCAAAAAATGTACAATTTACAAACATATAAGAGTAAAGAATCTGTGGATCACTGAGCCGGGTAACAAAGTGGATATATATATATATATATATATACATACATTTATATACTTTTGGTGAGGGCGATTGCAATCAAAATAAGAGGTGCACAGCTACATGTTATAGCAGTGCTATATACAAAATTTCAACGTTCTTGAACTACTCGTTTTAGTTATGCGAGATACATACATACATACATACGTACGTACGTATGTACCTACGTACGTACAGACGCCACGAAAAAGTCTCTTCAGAATTCATTTTAAATCAGTTTCATAAGTTTTTTGGGGGAAAGAGTCCTTTATTCTGCCCTTACGCAGAGATGTGACGCAAAATCACCGTTAAATTGCATTCGATAGTGGTCAACGTGGATATTTTCGTTGAAATATGATACCCGAAATTTTTCGCGATTACAATACTTTCTCTTTACTTCGTACAAGGAAGTAAAAATTCGTTTATGAAATAGATAATAAAACAAATTCCAAATTCGGGCTTGCGGATGCCCATATTCGGGTGGAAACGTACGTTAAAGCTAATGGCTTTATCACAGTGCGAGAAACAAACATACATTTAAGCTGATTCTTCATTATATAATTTCTTTAAATATAATACAAGGCTGTAATATATGGTGGCAAAAGTTTGAGAAGTGAACAGATATTTATCGTGAAGCAACGCAAAATTCATACTGAAATGTTTTTATGCATTTTCTTTTCAAGTGTACATAGAACTGCTAAATTTTGCTTTGGCCGCAGCGCGCTCATCTGGAGTGCTTGCTCACTAGTTACCCATTTGCTAGTCCCTAACTGAACAATTGCAAATGCTAATGATACAACATGCTGACGAAGAACTGAAACGAATTATCGATACTTTCAATAAGAAACAAGAAGAACGATCTGCTGAGGAGGAATAAATAATAAGGAATTACCTATTTAAAAAAGAATAGACTGTTCTGGAAAACAGAGATTTTAGAGATCATCATCCCTAAAAGTATGAGGAAAAGTGTAGTAGTGAAACTTCATGACTTATTTGGCCACTTTTACGTAAATCGAACAGTTAGCAAAATTAAGGAATTATATTGACTTCCAGTAAGAATGAAACTATATGTAAGAACGCACATATCACCGTCGATTGAATGCCTTATGAATAAAGTGACAGATGGCAAGAAAGAAAGACTGTTACATTCTATAACACCTGGTAAAAGACCATTTGCTATTGTTCATATGGATCATTTGGGTCCTTTTGTAAAGAGTTCAAAAGAAAATCAAGAGCTATTAGCGGCAATTGATAACAAGATTAGGTTTGCGAGAATTTTCGCAGTTTATAGTCTTTGAATAATTTTATTAACGATTTTGGCCTACCAAAAAGAATAATAAGTGATACAGGTTTTGTTTTAGTTTTCCTCTGTTTAAGCAGTACGCAATTAATTGTACAGACAAAATTATTTATACCTTCATTAATGGTGTGTGTGTAAGTGCGCCTCCATTAATGGAGGTACACTTTACTGCAAGAGTCTGAACTTTAAGGTTTATATTTTTGTCATTGTACAGACAACGGAATACACCCTTACTTTGAGTTCTACCAAACACCCCCAAGCCAATGATGTGGTAAAGCGCGTCAACAGAACAATTTTAGAAACGATAATGACAAGCCTGTCGGATAAACAACACAGAGATTGGGATTTGATAGTAAAAGAGACAGAAAGAAATCTGAACAACTTGGCAAACATAATTAAGAATAAAAAACCATTTGAAATACTTTGTGGATACTTGCCCAGATTTAATGATGGTATACTTAGGAAGATAGCGGATGAAGATTCAGATATATCGAACGATTTGCAACAAAATCCAAGAACAAGCGCCAGGAGGAATTGAAGCTCAGAAAGCGAATTGAATAGATAAAAACGTCGTGCACTAATATTTGAACAAGGACAAATTATTGTGATGAGATGTGCTCCTAAAGCTACAGGTCAACCTACGAAAACACAACCGAAATATCGAGGACCATTTATAATAAAGGAAGTATACCTAAAGAATAACCACGGATCATATCAGCCAGCTGAAAGCATGGAGGGGCGAGCTCGGTTCGGATGATAATGTAGGTGGTGACGACCAAGACACCAATCAGTTCCCAAGTTTTTATAATTCCTCGACGGAATCTGCAAAGATTTATTTGTAAAGACTAATGGAGGTACACTTTACTGCAAAAGTCTGAACGTTAAGGGGAGAACTTTCCTTTTTCATGTTTGCATACGTGTCCTTGCTGACAAAATCTCAAAAGACTCTGAACATTTAAAAACTTATATTGAACAATTAGACTGAAAGACTTATGGTGCATTATATGAATTTTAGGCCTTATCATTTTAGGACTCATAATGAATCAGTGTTATTACGAATTTATCATGTATTTAGTAATAATTTAGAGAAAATTTCCATTATAATCCAAATCAGTAAAAAAAATTGTGAATTTAATTAAGTAAGTAAGTTTCCTATCACACCAAATTATAGCATAACGTGTATTCTTTCTAATGTATCATTAATACGCATGTTAGATGATATATATGACAGTTAATGTAGTAATTAGAAAATTAATAAGTATTTAACAATCAGAACGATAATCACGTCAAAATGACCAAATATAATCCGCCAATAGATGGCATTGTAAAAAAAAAGCCGCCGTTAGAGGGCGCAGGATAGGGAAAAAAAGTAGTTTAGAGAATGCGGGCGTTGTGAAAAAAAAAAGTTGGATACCCCAGCATACAGTTTTGTGCATATATGTGTTTCATTAGTGCATTAATAAGCAAAATTTTTTAACACTGTGAGTCATCCTATTGAATCTTGGTAGAGTGAAAGAAGCACTCCTAAATGAGCCTCCAACCTCAACATGTTCGTTTCAATTTGCATCGAATCCCGTTTCAAAGAAAAGATACTGCCACCAAATGTTATCGTTACGCATTATTTTTAAAGAAATAATGTACGAAATATAAAAAGAAATGTATGACAGCTAGGGTTCCCACCTCTCCCGGAACTGAGCCGTGGAAATTAAAATCTCCCGCCTCCCGGAAGGAATTTAAAATAAATATTACTCTCCCGGAATATCAAGTTTCCCGAAAATAACGACACAATGCGCACGGACAAAATGGTTGAGAGCATTGAAAATCACACGTCCGCGCACAGCAGTTAAAGAACATCTATGTCAATACATATTCTTTGCCAAGCAGCGATCTTCGGACAAGCGCCTTGCGGGATGAGTCGCGGTTTCATGTCGGCGTGTCGCGCGCACGCGCCCCCCTCATCTCCCCTCACTCTTTCATTTTCATTCCATTCTTTCATTTAGTCTGCAATTAGCTAGCTATCCACAAACAAGTGAGTATTTTGAAATTATTTAAATGCTTTCATAATAATGTCTAGTTCGGGGGGGGAAACGATTCTGATTGCAAGTGAACTACAAGTGCCACAAAAAAGGACAAAACATTCGACGTCGTTTTAAGGCAAAAGCTAAATTTGATTCCCTTACGAAGAGAGACAACTGTAACGAGAATGTAAAGTATGTCAGAAAACGGTTAATATTAAGTACGAGGATGTTATAGCTTTAACTGTACATTCTCAAAGCAAGAAACACCAGTCGTTATATTGAAAAGGGATTCATCTCAACTTTTTCGTGAAGAAATCTTCAGAAGAACAAAGCAATATATCAGGAATTGAAATTACTTCAATCTATCATAGCATTAAGTACCACACCTTTAATAGCCAAGATTGTACAAATTGTTATAGCACTATATTTCCAGATTCTTCTTCGTCAAAAACGATTTCTTGTGGTAGAACAAAATGTATAAGTATTTGCGAGAGTGTGCTTGCTCCCGCAACTCAAAAAATACTTTTAAACGAGATTAAGGAAGTGGAGCTTTTTCAGTTGCGACTGAAAAAAAAACTTCTTTCTTCTCCCGGAAACTTTTTTTCCTCTCCCGAATTTTGACTGCCAAAATGTGGCAACGCTAATAACAGAGCTTAATAATCTGTGTGGAATTCTAAAGGTATGCTGCTTTTAAAAATTTTTATATTGTTAATCATTGGCATTTGGATCCGAAACACTATGACGAAAGGATATACTACGACTGATGCACGTTATTTTCAAATCAAAGCATGAGAACGGATGTGTACAAGAGCCCGTACAGTTGAATCGCTTTTCAAATTGTTGCCAAGAAATATTATTGCCTTTAAAAATAATAAAAAAAAGGAAGAATCTGCATGAATATACGTATGTTTCTCGCACTCTGAATAACCGACGGTACCTAGGGCCATCCAATTTTGAATAACGTAGTCCTCCACCATAACATGTGGACTTGGAGGTCCGAATTCTGAAAGCCGAATTTTATATTTCATACTTTTATAAAACTTTAATGAATTTTTAGTAAACTAAATGATTCGAAAGCGAGCAGTTGCAACACTATACAAATTAGAGCAATGCTATATATCCAGCGCGGGACACTGTACATCGGAAATTCTGAAGATATGCTGTTTTCAAACAATTTTTAATTTTTCTATTCAACTGAATTTTATGTGATTCAGTTAATAAATTTAACACACAATATGTTAATAATAAAAACACCCAAAAAAATTTTGCAAGCCATCTTATTAAGGAAACTGTACATTGTTTTGATAAACTGAGAAAAGGCTCAAAAAATAGAAAAAAGTATTTCAACCAGTTAACACTTCATAGGGAATTCTAAACACGTTCTGCTTTTAAAATTTTTGCAATTTTGCTGTTGAATTGTGCATGGCGTAAGTACGAATAAAATTATGTTTAATAATAAAGCTAAAAAGACGAAAAGAAATAGATTAGCAGGAATGAGTGCAACAATAGACTGGTAGAATGCGAACTCAGTGAAAGCGTATCAAAACCTTCACAAACCCTTTTGGGCTACCGTTATAATCTGACCCCTTTCAGATTTTTTTTTCCTCACACTAACGAAATTGGTTTTATTTGGCATTGTTTAAAATAATGGTGGAAGAATTTTACACAATGAAGCGATCAACGAAAGTACTTTGTCAAAAGAGCAGTCCTCTTACTGTTATTTTAGAATAAGATATTATGTATTTTATCGTCAGAGCCTGTGAGATATAAACACAGTAATTTTTTATTTAAAAATTCTCTGAAATCGTGAAGCTATAATAGAAGTACATCTCAGAAATAATAATGTTATATTAAAGTTATCATTTTGAGTCAATTTAAAAATAATTTTCTGAATGCTTTCGCGTCAGTTTCACAACTAATGGCAATTTTACTTAAATGTCAAGCATTAGCATTAACAATTGAAAGTAACTTTTACAATACATCCAAACTTTTAAAACAAAACTCTGTTCACATTTAGCTCCCTTTATATGAAATATGCAGTCTGATACATTAAATGAGCCATCAGATGAAAGTTTCATCAAAATCCTTGAATTTCTAAATAAACGTATTCCTAAATAGCTGTAGGGTCATTAGGTTTTTTTTTTCGGGGAGGGGGGGGGAAGCAGGAGATATACAAAACCTGCGAGTAGGATTCCAATTACACCAAAAAGACATTCGGAAAAGAGGTAGAAAATACGTTACATAGGCATAGAGGTTACTTACATGTAAGTAAATAAACTCTAAAATAATACCTGAATCTGGAATCCACTTCAGCTGCCATTTCCATAATGGTGTAGAGGGAGATGTTGGTCGGCACCCTCAGCTTGAGATTCCTTTCCACGTCTCTATTTTCTCCTATCCAATAGGAGTACTGAATGTGCCATTTTGGGCCAGGTTGATTCACCAAATTCCACAGGCCTCTTTTTTCTGCATGTAAAGAAGTTTGTCGAGTTGAGAAAGCAATTGAAATATTTCAGGTACAATACAAAGGATTATGGTCACTCCATATTAAAAAATTAGCCCTTGTAAAGTACTTTCTAATGCATTTCTGTAAATCTTAAAGTGCAAAAAATAAATGGAAACTGTTCATGTGAATTTTTGAATGTATTAGATTTGGGAAAATGGAAATATGATGAAGATGCAAAACATTTCTCCCAGATTGTATTTTCATTGTGGGGGGAAAATGTCACAGGTTATGACCGTGCTTGCTTTCTTTCTTAAAGGATCTGCTGCAGGCAGTGAATGAAATTATTAAAAAAAGATCCTTCATCGCCGTTCATTTATCATCGCGCTACGAATTCTGTATGTATGTAAATAATTTTAGTGTCATTATATGCGGAACTGTAGTATGTTTTGTAAAATATAATATGAAGTGCATTAAAAGTACAGCGACAAGTCTGTTTAACGATGAGTAAATGAGTATTTCCCTAAATTGGTAAGATATTGCCAAGCTGGTGATGATTTTGGTCTCCGCGAGGAATCCCCAAAAGCAGCTACATTTGGCGACATGTTCCTTCCAGTAATTTCATGATCATGTGCCTTACAGTAATATCGAGAACTGGATGATACTAGAAATTTCTCAAGGTTTCTCAATGGCGGAAGAAGAACATCAGCTCTCAATTGTTTAATTCATCTTTGAGTATGGAGTACAGAAATATCTCCGTGTGAGATTCTGTGATACTGAGCAGAGCTGTACGAGTATTTTTATGGAAAGTTACAGAAATGTAAAACACTTCTTTCAGTAAAATATGTTTTATCAAACTATCATCGTTTCTGTATACATTCAATCCATTACGAATCTGTACGCACGCAACAATCGGTTCGGGTGGGGTACGTACGTACGATCTCTGTGATTTCTTCATAAGTTACGTTTTTGCATGCATAGAAAGACTAGTTGCCCATGCACTTATTCCTTTTAAGATGGAGACTGTTGAAATTTTGGACATATTACCTGCATCTCTAAAACGTTTTTCAAATCGAGCTGCATTTTCGTGAAAAGGCGTACATATTATATGCCTGCGCCTTAACACACGTTCAAAATCCGAGTTTAAACGTCCTGCTGCTTCTGTGTAAAGGTTGCTTATATTTTAATATCCATGAGAGTGTGTTTGCCAAGGGCAACTCCAAGGTGTAGATCATATATATTTTGCACTTATGCCAACGGTATATACGTATTGCCTGTTGATCTCTTTAATCCACAGTTTGAGTGCATTTCTCAAGAATCGCATACCTTTGTAATCTTCATAAATAATACTATTACGTGTGTACAATTCGCAACGGATTTCAATGCACACAAAACCGATGTTAGAAGGCATATACAGTTGGCGGTTACACTGGGTCCCATACAATTACAGTTACATAGGGAACTACCCAGTTTAAGTTATACAGAAATCAGACTCGCAATTAAATTCATGAATCAAAATCAAAGGGAATCAAAAATCGCCAAATTGTTGCCAAGTTTGGCGGTTTTGGGCCCTTCCTCGCCAAATTTAATTACAGAAATCAGTCGCCAAAATTATGACTACCTTGGGGATCTCCAGTTTGCCGAGATGGCTGTTTACCTCAGTGTTCAATGGACTTGCCCCTGTAACCTAATTTTTCCGGCGAAGCTTCACTCTTTTGAGAGCTTTGGTGTTATATTATATATGAGATGCTACAATTTTACACAAAATTTCTCTATAATTATTTACATATGTACAAATCCGTAGCAACAGAATATTTATTATGAGGGCCAAGCATTCATTCACTTACCTTTATTCGCTGTTCTCGTACATCTTCAGCAATCGAAAATAAAATCTTTCCAAAATAAATCGGGCCCACCAGCATTGAACACTGGTAGTTCAGTCCGAGGTTGCAATCCTGCGAACGGGCTGGCTGCATGGGCGCTTTCGTGGTTCTCCCCATGTGTAACCTGTATAGGACCCAGTTTACCTTAGAAACCCCTCCGCGAAAGCATCCCTTCCCTTAGGCAGATAGCCACAGTGTGCCTTCCGTAATCTCAATAAACCAAACCATCCAAAATAAACCATGTGCATATCTGATGCGACATCATTAAAATAACACATTTTTTTTTTAATTAATAGGCTTTCAAGAAAATTAAGACGCTCGATATAACTAAAAATATAATATTCTTAAAATCATGTCTAGCAAAATTAAGAGAGAAAATGCAATCAGAAAATTTCAAGCTATAACCTTTCCTTTAAGTATTTTTAAAAATATAATAGACGTAAAGTTAAAATAAATAAAAAAAACTAAAAAAAAATCAAAATTAATTACATTTTTTAAGTGCAAATAACGTAAAAACTAAAAGAGAGCTACAATTTGATCTTTACATTCACATTCCAGTTTAACACCTGCAATAATATTAAGTTGAACGGTTTACGATAAACATTCTATGTAGTTTGTAAATTAATCCTTATAAATTTAAAAATTGGTATGTAAAATCATATATTTAAATCAAACTTTTCAAAAGTCTTATCAAACAGTAGAAAAGAAATTTTGCAATGATATTATTCCTATTATTCCATTTCAAGTTAATGAAATGTAGAAAGATTTTCACTTGTTAAAGAAGAGAGATAGCTGTGCATTTTCCCCTGGATATCTGACATATGAGACTATAAATACTCTGTATGTGAAGTAGCAACAATTTATATTTTGCCAGGGTACGAAATTCGTTCAATCGAAACTATAATATTTACAAATAGGATAAGCATTATTTCTGTAAAAGTTTAAAATGGGACGCATACACACACAGTCACACACACACGCACATACACAGATTTCGAATAAAATTCTATCAAATTCTAGAGCATTCAGAAATATGTCTTACTTTTTCAATCGCAAAGAGGCAAAATATCTTTGCTTCTGAAGAATTTGGACTTATGACTGATCACTCTCGGAATAATAAATGAAGTTCCTTGTGAAGTTGCTTTTTTTTGTTTAATTTATGATTTTACATTGGCGTGTTTATCTTTGCTCCAATCTGAAGTTGCTTTTTTGCTTAATTTATAGTTTTACCTTGGCATGTTTATCTTACAATGAAATTTATGTGATTTATGCTTTTACGAAGCAACTGCCACATAGTTTACGAACTATTACTAATAGGTAATAAATAGTTTACCATCCGATTCCAAATTTTGACAATGCTTGTTGCTGATATTCACTAAACTTCTGTAATTAAGAATTGGCAGAACGTAGTAAGTATTCACAACATTTCCAAAGGAGCCATCTGATTTCTGACTTGCAAGAAGCTGTTTAATGGCTTTTTCTTCGTCAAAATGTTCATCATCGTCCTCTGTTTCTGAAGCAAATAAGGCCTAGAAATGGCAATAAAGTTTTGTTGAATCATTTCACGATACAAATTATATCCATTAAACAACACTGTTTAACATGTTTCTACAACAAGATGATATGCTTACACCACATATCGCGAAATAGGAAGTATGGCAATTTATAATTACTGAATTAGTGATACTGTCACATGGAATGCAATACCAGAGCATTTTATAGCAATGGAACATCTTTTTGTATCTTCAGAAGAATAAAGAATTAGTAACGAAAAGCAAACGTTTTAGTCTTGAAGAAAGGGGAAAGTTCGTTGGATCATTAATCTTTGTTATGAATGCTACTCACCTGGAGGACTAGTGCAGTCGTTTTAACATTTTCCACCGTTCCGTTTCTAAACTGGCGCTGTTTCAATTCGAGGGTCATCTCTTTGATCTCACCCATGTCGAAGTTACTGTTGGGCTGTAAGGCAGCGCAGGATAATGCCATTACAATAAGGGCTTGCGTATCTGCAAAATAAACATGTATGCAATAATTCCTCCACCTAACACAGTTACTGTAAATATTCCTGCAATTTATATGTATATATATAACTTTTATTTTAAAAGGTATGTATATATTACCTCCAAGGAAAAACAAATTTAATTAAAGCTACGAATTATTAGGGGGAAGGGGAACAAAAAATTTTAGCAAGTGTTTTCAGTAGCTTCCCAGTATGTAAAGTTATCTAAATTTCTACAGCAATAAAAATTATTTAAAAACCTATATAGAAAAATATTTTAACCACAAAAATTCCACATATTAAATAGAAACTACTGTAAAGTAGTATTGTCACTGATCTCAGATTAATTGACTTGTCAAGAAGATTAATCGAAAACTATTATCGATTAACAATAACCAAATTATGTCAGAGTGTTTTGCCTCTTTACAAATAAGGATCAAATTAGTTGTTTCGTTAGAATTACATCATAAGCTAAGAACAATACTCAGTTATTAGAAATATCTCAGTCTCTATTAGACAATTTTTTTTTTATCATAAGCAAAATCCCACATAAAAATAATTAATATATTCGGTAAGAACAGAATTAGACGAGATCCTTATTTTAGAAAAAATATTCCCCGATATTCTCATAGTATTGTAAAAAACAATAAAAATAACAACAAAACAAAAAACTGTCGATATTTGTGCCAATTGATATATATAAAAGAAAACATCAATAGAAAAATGCATAAATGAGTATATTATTTTAGATTAAATCTTTGTTTAATAATCAGATTCAAAATCAAAAGTAAAAAGTAAATTTATATATTTTGTATTAAAAAGTTAATTTGAAAATCAAGAGTAAAGTTAATATTTTATTTTAGATTAAAACATTCTTTTATAATCAAACTCAAAATCAAAAGTAAAAATAAATTTGTACTTTCTTTTATATTAAAACGTGAATTTCAATATCAAAAGTAAAATCGAAATTTATACATTCTTTTATATCAGTAAGTTCACTCAAAAATATCTATTTATATACAAATTTAGGAACAGTCAGGAAGAAAATGAATATTAACGTACTTGACTGCAAAATTTAAAACGAAATGGCTGGAAATGTAAATGTATTCAGTGTGGGAATATAAAAGTGTTGCCGTAAAAGTGGTTGGTGAAGGGTAGTTCTGTATTAGAGATATGGTAGCTTTAAATTGGCGAGAAAATCTCTCGATTAAATAATATTATACATACAACACACACACATGAAAAGGACGTAGAAATGTTGTTGGCGTAGAACATTAAACGATAAATCCGTAATGAACAGAAAACTTGGGACTGAAGGTAGATTAAATATCATCTTTATTTCAATTGATATTTGCAGCCATAATTTACTTGACTCTCTAAACTTGTGCTTATTTTACAAAAACGTTTTTCTAATTTTTTCATAACAGTATTAATATATTTTTATCAAGCTCCTTTTGATATTTTCTCGTAGGCTGCTATTAAAACGTATCAATGATGGACTTTGGAATAATAAGATGTAAGCATCAATTGCTTGTCGTTTTAATTTTAAGTAATAGGCAGCTACATACAGCAAACAATTAAACTGATCTTGAAAAATATCTGATAAACATTTGCGGGAAAACATTACGTATCCTGCTTCTATTCTTAATAAAAACTCTGATGTGGAATTCTCATGACATCCTTGTACGACCGATTAAATTATACACATTTTATTGCTAAATTTAATTTAAGCTTATTTCCTCGAATTTCATTAGAAATATATTTCTCATTCAATGAATTTAGTTGTCACTTCTAGGCAAGGAGAAAATATATATACAAACTCAAAACATCTTCTTTAAAGATTGTCAAACACAGAAATATAAAAATCCAACTACAGTTTAAAAAAGGGGATTTTTGCAATGGATATTAGAGTTCCTATGCAAAAACAGGCAGTTCGGCCTGCGGGCAGGTAGATTGATTTTTCAGTGAAAATTGGAAGTTTAATTTTGGTCCCACTCGGCAAAAAGGCATTGAAGTTGATGAAACACATTGACTTAATTCACTATTCTACTAAATGTTTAAAATATAAGAAAATGGCGGCCATGTTAGGCTTAGCGACACTTAAACTTTTAAAGTAATGATAATCCTAAAACTACTTTATGCAGGTTAACTAAAGGCATAAAAATCCTAAACGGAACGTCAGAACAACATAATTCAATCACTTTTACGGTAGCAAATGCACAATTTACCAACATACAAGAATAAAAAAAAAAAAAAAAAAAAAAAAAAAAAGAGCTCAACAAGACGGGTGGAGAGAGCGGAAAGAACTGTTAATTTTGCATGGTTATTTATCTAGTAGTAGCCTATGACTCAAATGTTCATTTATTTGGTATTATCTTTTCTGTGATACTAAATAAATAGCTAAAGTATAATGTTTTGCTACCTGTCCAGAATTGGCGTTGTTTGCTCGAAAACATCTCGATAAGCTTCTCAACATCTCGGGAAGAGATATGTTCTCCGGCATTGCAGAGAGCGAGTATTGCGAACGGATTTGTCGAATTTTGTGAATCCACGCGTTTTCTTAGCTCCCTTACCAGGTCTACTACATAGAAGTTTCTGGGATTAATGCAAGACACGAGGAAAGCATTGATGAATGCAGCCAATTCCGTATTTGAAACATCTTCAATTTGTTTCCTAAAAGAGCAATGTATAAATCATTATTTATATTTATATAACAAATAAAATATAACTACTTTATAACTTAAATAAAAGTATAACAAAATAAAGATAATACAGGTGCAACTTACAGAGCAAGTCTTGATAAGAACTGGAGACTGAGTTCGTAAGGAATGGCGGGCTGCTGTTGAAGGACACCAGAAAATGAGTCTCTTTCTGGTTTCTCAGCAAGGTATAAAGCAACAGCTATTCTGTTCAGTTCCGGACCCCATTTTCCTATTGAGGAATTATGCTTCGACTGCGCCAAAAGGTATTTAATAGCCCTTTGCTTTGAAGTATTTATTCCTTGTATTGTTCCGTCATACGCATTTGCTGAAAAATAATTATTAGCACATATTCAAAGAAAATGAACTAATAAAAGCATTAAAAATGTTTGCTTCAAATTTACTGCTCTGAAAACTGAAAACATGCTCAAGGATAAAAATTAAAATTTCTGATACATTGGCAACAATTAGCTATATATTACCGAAAGCGGTATTTCTGCTTAGTCTCATGTTTTGCTATGAGTACACATGCAGATCTTTTGAGTTTTTAATTTAAGACATTGTGCAAAGATTTCAAGTTTAGTCGTGTTTTGCGCACCACCAGTTATGGCCGGATGAAGAGATAGTCCATGTTTCCTACACTCTGGTTTTTAGATGCTATCTGCTTTGATATATTACAGTCGTCCCTCAGTTATCGCGGTTAATAGGGACAAGAACCGGCCGCCATAAGTGTAACACCGCGAAGTAATGTCCCCCTCTCATTTTTAACATGCGTATATTTTTTTTTGTATGTATAATATCAATAAGTGTATATCAAACCATATGTAAGTGCATATGTTATCATTAGAAGAATATTAAAGAATAGTTTCAAACATATAAATAAAATATTAATAGCATATATAACATACGTAAAATAGTGTATAAATAATATAAATATGATACGTGTGTGTGTGTAACATACGTAGATGTAACTGAAGTGTACATACTGTAAATATGTTCTTAGAACTCTTTTACTCTTCTAACAACTTTTCTTTTATAACAAGGTACGTAACTCACCTCTGACGATAGCTTCTCTTCGCTTGATCTTCATAAATGTCGATGAAACACCTGGGCAGTAGAATGGAGGTGAAGAAGATGAAGATGATTTACTGCACAGGTTTAATGAGAGCTTAACTGCTCCTCAGATGACGTCTCATCGTCAGGTGCCAGGGGCGCTGGATCGTCGCGGGCAGCTTCGGATAGAACTGGGGTAGGTGCAGGAGGAGCTTCTGCAGAACGTTTTCGGCGCAGAAGGAACATCGTGATGGGAAGTTGTGATCGTTGTTGGTTTTTCTGAGCAGAGATGCCTTTGTACTACGCCATTACACCATCAATACGGTTACTGAATTCTACGACTCTGACCATGTTGTCGTCGATTTCTTGGGCCCTTTGTTGAAGAGTCCGTGTAGGAGCTAATTCCTCTAATTTCGAAGGATGGCACTTAATAATATGTGCTGCGCTCGTAGATTTCGTCGAAATGAATAGGACTTCGAACATTCCAAACTCAAAAAATTTTCTTCCGTAATAATCGCACTACATATAAAACACAACTTTAATTGCCAATCTTATGATATATCGGCAAAAGTGTATAACAGATGCCAGCCTATTACGCTAACGAATCATATCACTGCGCATGTCGAGTATGCATTAAATGTGTCGAGCTCCACCGAAATCCCAATGATTAACGCTATCAGGGAGCATTGTAGAAAAACAATTTACTTCAAAAAATATGTATTCTTAAAGAAGGAAAGCTTCGCAGCAGCAGGGGTGGCTTCCCTTCGAACGAAAAGGGAAACAGCTGCGCATGCGTGAAATATCTGTCGCCAAACAGCGCCAAAGCTCGAAGCCGATGTCGAAGTTCGAACAGGTTCGACGGTCACGTTTATCAAGAGTTTGAAGCTGTGTGACTCCATTTTTCCCCCTCCATATTGACGGATATAAAATCAGACATCAAACTGCGATATGGATAATGCAAGTTCAACAGCCAGTGAAAGTGAAACTTCACCTAATTTTCTTATTCATCTTAACCCGTGTTCCTCAATTTCCTGTACATGTCGCGGAGGAGAAAATCTCGCCCAGGTCCGGTACATCACAGAGATGGGGAAATTCTCGCCAACCGGTTCCGTCGCCAAATCCCTTGGCGAATTTTTTCTCTTCTTTCTAGCTAGCGACGTAGAAGACAAACTGGTTTACATTACGTCTATGGAGCCTTTCCTTCTTTACATAGACGTTCTTTGCATCTACTGCCATCAAACTTTGGGCTTCGCTCAGCTACAGATTTAAGAAAGTGTCCGCTGTATTCCGATGTGCGTGCACAGATTGATATACACCTACTTTCAAACTTTACCGTAAGCTCATATAAGCTAGCGTACTCGTGTCAATAAAATCCTGAGTTTGAGGCAACAACCCAGGCAGGATTATTTGTATCACCTCGGCATCAGAGTTTTTTCCATACAATAAGTATACACCTTGTACTTTCCTCAATATAAATGCAGTCAGTGTTTCAATCTTAGTTACATATATTTCAAACAGTTCCGCTTCTAATCTTGACGACCTATCTTACACCACGGGAAATGCTTTCATAATCATCGCGGTTTTAAATACCTTGTAACACGTGAAGTCGCCAGCGGAAAATCTGTGGTTTTAGCCATTACAAAGCTGATGCTGATAATCTTTCCTTCTTGAAATCGCACGTGTATTTCGATATTAAAATGGTCGTAATTGCTTCTCAAGTGCGGCCAGCCTTCTTCAGAATGACGCCAACCTTTTGTTTAGCCGTTAAATATTTAGTTTTATTTATGAGTGTAAAAATCGGCTTTTATTCAAATTTTGGTATGTATAACATTTTCTTATTTAATTTGTAAAACACGTATACAAAATTATCTAAATCTAGATATATGCATAAATTTATTTTTCGAATTTTGGAAAGGAGTAAAAAAAGATTTTCTAGTAAGGGTAAATGAAGGATCATTAAACATTGACATGGTAAAATTCCTAACATTTCCTATGGTGTGTAATAGTTGGTTATTTTCATAAAAGCATTTTGGAATTTAGATTCAACATTTGCTATAAGTTGAACGTCAAAGCGCTTCTTCATAAATTTTGAAAGCTCTCTTTATATTTATATCGTCCTGTATTGCAAGAGGTTTTGAATAAAGCGATAAAAAGCTTTTATGCAGCAGTCAGTATTGAATAGTCTGAATTTAATTAAAAAGAATTCGTGAAAAACAAAGTTATGGATAAAGGCCAATGAATCAAACCCTAAGTTTGTTAACAATCGAAATAATAAATTAAAACATATACCGTATATTACAGCGTATAAGTTGATTGCCCCGAGTTTCGAGAAAAATTTTCGGAAAAACAAATTTGCCGCCGCCGATGTACCTGATAAAATTACACTCGCGCTTTAGCGAATTTTTGTTTACTTCCATTTTAGCACATGGATAAAATTTTAAAATGTATACAAAATTTTCAAAGAATTTCATTCGAATCCTTCAAATTTCCATCCAAATCTGCAAATAAATCCTGAAATTTTTTTTCAGTCATTAGCGAATCATCATAAATTTCATCACTCGACTCATCACAGATAGTGTTATTATCGTCGCTTGGAAAAATTGCATCATCTTCTGTGCCCTCTTAGTTATCGGAAATGCAACACGTTTTGAATGATTTAATTATAATTTCAGCTGGAATCATGTCCCAAGCATCTTTCACCCCCGCAGTGCAGTAACACTTAGTCCAGCTTCCTAATATTGTCGATTTTGGCTTAAGAGTAAGCCAATCGGATTGTATCCATTCAGTCCAATGCTTGCGCATATTCATTTTGAACGGCTGGTTTAGGCTAACATCCAGTGTCGTAAAATGGCTGTCAGCCCTCCTGGAATAACAGAAAGTGTTGTTTTTAATTTTCTGCATGCTTTTTTACAACTTCTGAACGATGCGGTCGAAAGATATCCCAAATTAAAAGCGAAGGTTTCCCTAAAAGTGCACCTGGTTTTTGCACCATACATTTTGAAACCAATCAATTGTTAGGGTATCGTCCACCAACCATTTTCCTGGACGCGTGCAAGAACACCTGCCGAAAATGCTGTCTTTTTCGGTAACGTTTTTCGCTTGAAAATAATCATGGGAAGCAACTTATTACTGTACGGATTTTAAGTTTTACTAACGTTTACTGTCCTTTAATTTTAAAACTTTACTGTGCACTCTTGTTTATCACTTCTGGCCAGAATAAACGCGGTTAGTTTTAGTATGCAAATTGAGCTTGCAAACTGTTAAATATTTAATTTGTGGCTTTTAGCCAAGAAGGAGTTAGAGAGAGGGAGACTTCTGGCCACGCGCGCTTATTTCACACGCGCTTTTCAGTCAGTTGCTGTCCACCTTTAAGGCCAAAATTTAGTTTTCTTGATACTGAAGACGTATTGTAGTTTCCCCGCATTTTGCGTACTACATACGCGAAGGCCAATCTTAGCGCTACTAGTCTTTGCAAAGTATTTTAGCTCTTATTTAAATTTAGTTAGTTTGTAGTTCTTATTTTTTACGCTTTAGACCATAAGTGCTGGTCTTTGTATCCCGAAGTACGAGAGCAGCTGTAAACTATGAAGAAAATAAAGGATAGTAAAACCCTTCTCACTGGTGTTGTATCTTCTACACTTTTAGGAACGTAGTTTTTAGTAAACTCGCTGTTCATACTCAGGACACCACATGTTTGCCAAAGCAATTAGAAGAAATAGTAGTCCTGATGTTACCATTTGCTAAACAGGTAAGAACTAGTGTGAAACGAGTTTTCTCATGCCCAGTTGTTTTTACGTGAATTGTTTCTTCACCCTTTTTAATCAGCAGTGAAATTTTCAAGGGAGATCAAAAGTCATGGAGGTTTCATCCATGTTTACTATTTGGGACATTTCAAAATTAGTTATTTTTCTTTTTTCAATTACATACTTCTGGAAGTTTATTAATTTATCTTCGAGTTGACTCAGCAATTTCTGTGAAATTTGGTACGATGGCGCAACATAGTCCATAATGATTCATGAATCTCATGCACTAATGTTGTGATGCACGAAAAGAGTTATTTACAGGTGCAAATTCTTCATCTTTCGCGAGTTTCATGGCTCGCAAATGTATCGCAGTTCGGGTTATGACATAACCTTGCCGTCTGTACCTTTTTCCAGTTTTCGGAAAGACGTCGATCCGTGACGCAGGGCCTTTTCAGGTTTAAGAGTTTTCTTTAAATACAGGCACATTTTTCCTCCAGTCACGAATCATCTTCTCATTCACACCGAACTTACGTGATGCAATACAGTTGTTCGTACTTTCTGCAAATGAAGCTACTTTCTGTTTGAATGTCTAAGGCATTCTCTTTTGTTTTACACAACTCATTGAAAGGAGAACGTGGCTCTGAAAAGATCCGTTTTTTGTACATTCCGCTAAATCAGACATTACGAAAAGCAGGAAAAATGAAAAAATCTCGTCTACGATCAAGATAAATACACAGACCTTCGGTATGGTTACAGTTACTGATTCGATACGGTTATAATAATCAAAGACACAGATATTGTAGAGACTGAATTGCTATGTGACGTCAGATAATGAAATTAAATGGGGAGACTTTTCGAATAAACAGAAAATAAAATCGAAACAAATTTAATAAAAAAACTAATAAATAAAATGGGAAACAAATTAAAATTATGTGTTTTTTCTGTATAAATAATGTATTCAATAATCAAATTCGCTGGCGTGCGATCGATCGGCGGCGGTGTTTTTATTTTTATTTATTTATTTATTTTTAAGGTTCCGCGTATAAGTTGACCCCGTACTTCGAAGTTTGAATTTTTTTTTTCCTTAAAATTGTCATCTTATACGCAGGTATATACGGTAGTTATATTGGAATCAAAATAAGTAAAATGTCAATCAGTCATAATAATATTTTAATGGACTGGGTAGAAAGCAAAATTACTAATGACTAAACTTTGATTTAAAATGATAGAATAAAAATTTAAACTTGCAGTTTAAATTTAAATTCATAACGTGATATATTGATGTAGAACTACTTCTAAATTTCAAAAATAAAGAGAGAAAATATTACCCAATTATTGTTAAACATAGAATAGGTAACATTATTGATCTCATACATACTGCAGTTATTTTCGTCTTTTCCATGACTGCAATCTTTCGTTCCATCGCACACCCATACTTCAGGAATACATTTATCACGACCATAACGATCATAATTGGGTCTACCACAATAAAAGAAGTTTTGGGGGCACTCTCCCACTGTTTAGAAATATAACATACTAATGAGTATTCGTAAGAGATTTTCATGAACGTTTAATAGCAAACAACAAGAAACTGAAAGCTGAACTTACATCTAACTGAGCAGTAACGTTCATCGGAGCTATCTGAACAATCTGTTATTCCATCACAAAAAGAAGTTCTTTTCACACACTGATTGTTATCACATCGGAATTCTTCTCGAAGACATGGTCCATTGAAAAAAGCTTTTTGTCGAAAGTTTCCTGCATTTGTTGATAACAAAAATAAATAATTATAAAAGTAGCATTTTTCTGCATAAACTCACAAATGATTTAATAAGAATTCAAACGAAATTTTTATAAAATAAAAATTCCGTTTATTTTTATAAATCGATCGCGGTCTATGTGTCAGTCGTTAACATGGAGTTAGCGACCGTACCCCGGCGACTCAATTGGTTATCACATCTAGCGACGGTTCGTGACGGACTTTTCTGAGAAACAAGATTCTGGTACCACTGGTTTAAACAGGAGGTTTCCCAGGATAAAAAAGCTCCGCTGGAAGCGAAGTCCCGCCTTAGCTACGGAATATTAGTACCGGATGTACCGGCTACGCGGGATTTTTTAAAATCTTACCTGAAAATATATCGGCACAGCCCTTCTGAAAGCTCGCGTGATCCCAATCTCAGCGATAACTGATTACCTTTTGGTGTTCAAGTCTTTGTATTAAGTGAAAATGGTAACCTAGCTACGTGGGTTTCCTGGAAATGTGCGGGTTCTGAGAACTGTTCCTTTCGACGTCCAGTCCCCTCGTAGCGGAAACATAATATGATTGGGACATAAGATGTTATCACAGGAGAGGGCCATAGCTACACCTTGTAAGATACCATCGTTTTCAAATACGCGACCCTCGGAAAGGATGTGGGTGTTGCCATCTTGGATGACGTAATACACCACAGTTTCATTTTTATTGCAAGGCAACAACGGTTTTCCGCCACCTTGAACCAAAGCTGCTTCAAGAGTACTATACATACAGCTTTGCCTTGAACCAGGCGTTTGGATTGGAACGCCACCATTCTTTTCTTTTTAGTTACATTATTTTTGCTTTCCTACTTTTAATTACATTATTTTTAATCTTCGAACGTATATCTTGTTATTTAATCTGTAATTCTTTTTAATTGACTGAAACTGTAATTCACATATTTATTTTAAATAAACATTTTAATTAATTACTTTGATGTAAATTTTTCATGAACATTTCATATATATATATGTATGTCCACTGTATTTACATTTCATGTAAATCTAATGCACGTGTTTGAATGTGTAATTTTGAGACTTCTGCATGCTCGGAGCAAAGGCACTCAGCATATTATTGATGTTTTTTGCAAATACAATGAAAAATATCACTATAAAATTATATATATCATAAATTTTGATATATGCACAGTAGCGTGTGTGTATGAAGTATTGCAAAGTTACAAAATTTTGGAAATAATCCGCTTCTTCCGACTTTAATAAAAATTCCATTAGCATCAAAGTCTACATGTTAAATATGATCAAATTGCTTTGAATGGTAACAGAATTAAATTTTTAATGCATTGAATCTTCATACATTGATGTCCGACAATACAGAAACTGACTGCACATTGTAAAAGTGTATGTATACACTAGCAGCTTCGCTGCCAGCCTTCGTATGGCTTTTAAATGTACCGGGAAAATGGCTGAAGGAAACACTAAAAGTTAAATTTAAAAACTGCGTAGAATTTTACTCTGCAGAACAACTACATATAAAAAAAAGTTATTACGTATAACAAAATTACAATGAAATAAGCAATATCTCTTAATACAAATATTAATTATCCTAATAAATAAATTAACCAACTTCCCTTTGCAAAATCTTAAGAACTCAAATGGTATAAATGTGGTTAAGAACTTTGTTTCCTAAAAGAAATCACTCAACTTTTCAATACCTTAAAAACAGTGAAATGAGCAATAAATAACATAAAGAATACAAAAAACAAACAATTCTGAAAAGCAAAGTATAATTAATGACATTTTATCTTATATTTTCAAGAGAAAAAATTACAATGATATAATCTGTATCCCTTAATACAAATATTAATTATCCTAATAAAAAATTAACCAACTTTTCGTTGAAGAAAAAAATCATGCAAAACTTTTCAATCTCTTACAAACAGTGAAGTAAGCAAATATATATATATATTACATGAAAGAACCTCAAAAAAACAAAAACTTCCACTCAGAATTTTACTCTGCAGAACAATTTTATAAAAAAAATGTATTATTTACATAAAAAATGACAATGATATATGCTAATCTCTTAAAAATAGTGACATAAGAAATACGATGAAAAATTGTTGCCAAACCCATATCTCTAAAAGAATGAAACTATTCAAAATGATGTGATTTCATCAAAAATCTATCAATAACAATAAGACAGGAAAATTGTTGCCAAAATCACATTTTTAAAGATGTGAGAAGTGAGAAGTGTACTCAGAAGCTTCATTTAAAAATATTTATTAAAAATACAAAATATTATCATTTTTCCAAAACTCTTTTTGTAAAAGCAGTCGCGAGGATGAAAGTTTAACGTTTCCAAAAATCAAAGAAAAATAAACTGTACATTTTTAAAAATAAACTTTTTTCGAAAAAAATCCCGTTCGAAAGGTGTTAAGCTCCCTTTGTTAAATAAATTCATATTTAATCGATTTATTAAAACACGAAATTTATTTTAAGTTTGTAGAATAGCTAAGTGCCTACGTTTCATGACGATGTGAAAATGGAGTGTGTAGAGTAAAATCTCACTTTCCTATAGCCCATTATGTCTCAAAATGACGCGATTTCGTCACAAAACATAAAATAAAAAAATTCTAATTCGAATTTGGAAAAAATCGCTTCGAGGTGCATTGGATCTTGTTTAGATGCACCTATGTACCAAAATTTTGTAGCCGTGGGTCTATTAGCTTACGCGCAGCGCGAACGAAAGACACACACACAGACAGACTCTTTTATTATATGTAGAGAAGAAGAAATTATAAAGATTTCACATGAATAAAAAATATATGGAAAATTATTAGCCCAGAAGGGTTATTAATTTCGTTTTGGCATTTTGTCTCTATTCACTATAAATGTTGGTTCACTTTTCAAAATGTTGCCACCAAATATTAGCCCTGCATTATATTTAAATAAATTAAATAATGAAGAATCTGCGCGAATGTAGGTATGTTTGTCGCACTGTGCAAAAGCAACGGTACCTAAAGACATAAATTTTGAATATAAAGTAGTTCTCCATTCGAATATGGGCATCTGGAAGCCAAAATTCGATTTGGAATTTATTTTACTATCTATTTCGTATTTTGTAAAGCATTTATGCGTTCTTGATTAAGAAACGCAACGATTTCAAAGCGGCAATAGGCAACACTGTACGGGAAAAAAAAAAAAAAAAAAAAAAAAAAAAAAAAGACATTTTTATCCCCAGCGCGCGAGACTGTGTATCGGAAATTCTAAAGATATGGTCTTTAAAATTATTTTGAGATATTGCTTTTGAATTGAATTCTATGGTTTAAATGCGAAGAACATGATATTTAATAAATAAAGGTAACACACAAAACGCTAAAAAACGCGTAATATAAAATCCGAAAGCTTCATTTTTTTTTTTTTTTTTTTTCTCTTTTCTACACTATTAGTTTTATATTTATTTGTTATTGTTACGTAATTTTTTTTCAATGAAATATTTTTAAATGAAAGATCTTCTACACGAAATTAAAAAAAAAAAATTTTCGTGAAGACAGTGGCGTAGCTTAAAAGCACAAATGCGAGTTTGTGACTGAAATTTATTTAACTACATAGGTGTGGTGATAAAAATCTTCCCCGGCTATACGAACCCCTAATAGCTTATCCGCTCATTTCAGATGTTGTTATTTCAAGGTATGTGCTCCAGACTGAGATGATTTAAAACAATAGAGCTCTCCTGCTTACGGTTATAGTGAAAACATTTTGGAATTTTAGAATGGCAACACTCACATTTTTCCGGCACAAACTGATCAGCGCATGACCAATTTTTCTCTTTCATCTCTTGTGATGACACTGATCCATTGCGGTGCTCTTCTTTGCAAATGTTTCAGCCAGCAATTTTCGCCACACATGTATCGTTCCAGCGCTTTTTACGTTTTTTCAATGCGCGAATCTGTTTTCGCAGAAAAAAATATATTTCACAGTTTTATTTCTTTACTGTTTGGGAAGATGCAAGCGAAAGGTGGAAGGGCAGTCTCTTAGAACTTTTACAATTTATTCCAAAATAGTCTTCAAGACGAAATACCAAATACTGCAACTGTACCTCGAATTTTCCTCACAATTGCTGTATTACTAATCGCAAGAGGAGTTTTTCTATATACAAATGTTAAGAAGCATCAAAGAGTGAGGGTCTTTTATTTAATAAATGCAAGATACAAGTCTAGAGAAGAGGAGCTGGAATGGAGACACTTCTAAAATGTTATCGACGAATTTGCTAACAGAACAGGGAAAATTACACTTTAAAATGTTGAAATTATACCTTTATTTCAAAAATCAACAATTAATTACATTTTATTTATTTCACTGTATATCGTTTTTACATTTCATAATTTTGTGTGTGTGTGTATAGAAAATGGCGGCCAAAGAACTAACTATGCCAAACTACTTGAAACTAGTATAATGAGTTTCGTATTTTAATGTAAATATTAAAAATGAAATTTTTAACTATTAAATCATTTTATAAATTTATTTCATTATTAATTTTAGTAGTGTAAGTTCGAGAGTTATGATTTCTAATACATTTCTTATTGAATTAATAAATTTCATCTTATAAGGCATAAAAAAAATATATTAGAAAGAAGAATCAATTTAGTTGTATACCAGTTGTTAAATTACTATGTCAAAAAGTTTGGTTTAACTGTTAGTCCCGTATCGGATATTAGTACCGAAACGGTCTTTTGCGTTCAATCAATTTAATCAGAGAATCATTTCTCAAGTTGTTGCCACCAAATGTTATCGCCCAGTATTATATTTAAAAAAAAATTAAATAATGAAGAATCTGCATAAATGTTTCTCGCATTGTGAAAAAACAAAGGTACCTAGAGCCATTAAACTTTTAATAACATAATCCTACTACCGAACATCGGCATTAGGAAGTCCGAATTTTGAACTTCGAATTTGTTTCATTATTTATTTCATATTTTGTGAAACCTTTAACGATTTTTTGATTAATGAACTCAACAATTTCAATTTTTACTCCAGCGCGCGAAACTGTCTGTCGAAAATTCTAAAGATATGCTGTGTTTAAATATTTTGTGGTTTGTGCTGTTGAATCGAATTTTATGTGGCGTAAACGTCAAGAACGTGATATTTAATAAATACACTAAACACAGAAAACTTTAACAATAAAAAGACAAAAAAAAAAAAAAAAAAAAGGTTTTGCAAAGCTATCTTGGTGAGAAACTTGAACATTGATACCATGAACTGAGAAACGACTGGAAAAATGAAAAACAGAAAAATGTATGTCAACATTTAACGCTGCATCGGGAATTCTAAAAGTATCCTGCTATGCTGTTTTTAAAATTTTTGTAATTTTGCTGTTGAATAGTACATGGTATAAGTGCAAAGAAAATAAAGTTTAATAATAAAGCTAAAAAGACAACAAAAAATGGGTTAGTACGAGTGAATGTAACAGCAGACAGCGAGCTCAGAGAAAAGGTAAAACAAACACTTTCGGGCGAGCATTAAAATCTAAAACCTTTCAGATATATTTTTTTCTTCCTTTAGATATAAACACAACACTCTTAGCGATCTTTTCCTATTATTTATTACTGCGCGCATTAGCATGCTCACGAAATTAATGTAATTTAAGTAACATAAGTAATAAATATTTATAGCGTAATAAAATACTAGAAAGCCCGGCGGTCATACGAAATGACCGCTGTTCTAGAAATTATAAACTGTAATTAAAATAATTTGTGTAAAGGTGTCTGCTAATTCAAACTGAATTAATCTGAATTAGTTTATTTACTGCACAAAATGAACTCTTGTTTAAAATGCAAAGTGTAAATACTTGATCCCACTCTGGCAAGAATACTAAATAACAAATATCCTCGTGAACAGATTCCGCGGAATAAAGATATATAATTGCAGTTGTAAACCAGTTCAAAGACAGATGATTTCCAATGCAAACAAATGTTCACGTTCCCCCTGACACGCTCAGTTTGCGTTCAGCTGAAAATTCAGTTTAAAATACAAAAGCAGATTTAATAATTTTAAAAGAAAATGCATTTATTGGCAACATTGTATTTCATATCTACTTTTGGGAACAATAAAAGAAAATTCTGAACTTGGATTTGAAAACCAAATGTATGAGAAACCATTGGCAAGTACAGTAACGCAAGCAACCAATAAACTATCGGCGGCAAAAACTTAAGCCGCATATACAGGGTGATTATAATTAAAGTTTAAGTTTCAAAACGCTATAAAAAAAGAACCACTGATGAAAATGATGTGAAATTTGAAAGGAATGTTATTGAAGAAGGCGGAAAGCGTATGGCAGAAGAAAAAATGTAGTTTCAAAAGTTAGCAACAGATGGCGCTGTAAGCGGCAGAATCACGACGAGAAACGATAAACGATTCGTAAAACAATGGCTAAGGTAGAAGTTACACATTAAAACGCATTGAAAATTAGAATTGTTGAATAATTTTATTTGCATGACTGTACATATCACATCGAAAGGGACAAATCGGTTTCAAGAGTTTTGCGGCGACATACCGCATAAGAACCATTCATCAAAGAAGTTCGGAACTGTCGCGAGACTGGCACAAAACATGTTCAATATGGTATCCACCGTTGTGTGCAACAAGTTGAAAGCGACAAACAGCATGTTCCGCAACGGATCGCAGTGTCTCCGGGGTGATGTTCAGAATGTGTTGCGAAATGCGTGCCTTTAATTCCGCTAAATTTGCAATTGGAGCACGGAACACAACATCCTTCAGATATCCCCACAGCCAGAAATCACACGGTGTAAGATCAGGCGATCGGGACAGCCAGGCTGTAGGGAAATGACGGCTGATAATTCGAGCATTTCCAAAATGGCGCCTCAGCAGCTGCTTCACGGGATGTGCAATGTGCAGAGAGAACGAATGCCATCTTGCATAAAAATTATTTCATCCACACATCCACGCTGTTGCAGAGCTGGAATCACGTGGTTGCGCAAAAGAGACGCATACCTCTGACCAGGTGACGGTAACAGGACCGGAAGCACCCGTCTGCTCGAAAAAATATGGTTTTAGGATGAATGATGCCGTAAAGCCACACCATACACCGTGACCTTTTCAGGATGAAGTGGTACGGGGTGCGTTGCCAGTGGATTTTCTGTTGCCCATATTCGACAATTCTGGGTATTCACGTACCCTGTCAGATGGAAATGGGCTTCATCTGTCCACAAAATTTTCCACGGCCATTCATTATCCACTTCCCTGCGAGCCAGGAATTCTAACGCAAACGTCTCCCTAGCTGTCAGGTCAGACGGAAGCAACTCCTGCACATGGCCAAATTTTGTACGGATAGCATTGCAGGATGTTCCATGGATGTTTCGTACAATTTTCAGCACCGTGCTCGTAGGCCTGTCCAATGTTCGGGCAATTCCTCGTGCACTGCACGGTTGCACACCACCGGCCGACCCCTCCTGTAATGCTGTGGCCACTTCTTCAACTACCGTCGAATGCACTCGTTTTCTCCCTCTACCAGATTGCACATCAAACGAACCTGTCGTTTTCGAATTTTTGCATCATTTTCTTTAGATCCTACAGACACTCATTGGACCAACGCCTTTCTTTTATACCCTTCAGTGTCCTGAATTTTTGCAGAGCTACTCTTGCACAATCATCATTCTTGTAATACAGCTTTACCAGCAGAGCGCGGTCCTGCAGTGAAAACACCCATGGCGAACGTCTGAGACGCGAAATGAGGAACAGCCTGGTACCTGGCGGCTTTATAACACTGAAATTTAACTAACATTTTAATTTACGTCTTCTTCCGTTTGCAGCGCCATCTGTTGCTAACTTTTGAAACTAAATTTTTTCTTCTGCCATACGCTTTCCGCCTTCTTCAATAACATTCCTTTCAAATTTGACGTCATTTTCATGAGTGGTTCTTTTTTTATAGCGTTTTGAAACTTAAACTTTAATTATAATCACCCTGTATATAAGATAAGTACAAAAGTAATGAGTAAGGTAATAATATGATATAATGTAAATTACTATAACCATGCGCCTGACGATACACATGGTTGTAATAAGCTACTTTTGACGAATTGCAACACAAAGGTGATAATAGTTTGTAAATCCTCTGCAAGCACTGCAGTTTTGAACAAAGTTGGAAAACATATATACATTCGGAGAACCGTAATTGCAAAAAAAATTTTAAACACTGCTTTTTATTTTGCATTACGCTGAAACCTTCAGACCATTTTAGCGGACCATGTTGTGCCAAGATATATATAAATTCGATAATTTAATTTCGGGTTAGATTAAAAATCTGTTTCAAAATGCAACGTAAAGTTTCATTGATAAGGAAAATATAAACAAACACGCTCATGCGAAGATTTCGTTATGATGAATTCAACATAAGTGTAATAACATTTTTCTAAACGATATTATTAATACAAGAAATACGTAAATCGTTTTTTTAAAGTACCTTAATAACACCTTTCTTATACAAGTAATATTCAGTTTTCGTTATGAATTGCTCGCATGTACTGCACTTAAGTATTTTACATTTTCTGTTGAAGCTGGTCATATGACTGGAGTCAATATGAAAGTAATCAATAAATTTCATCACGGGTAATCGAAAATATACATTTTATGCTCCAGTAAAATAGTTAAATTGCAATGCATTTTATCCTTAAATATCCCTGGACTCCTTTGACTAAATTTCCCTTAACAAAAGTAAACTGTTTGCCAATGCCATGTACCAAGCTGTCGTTTACGTAGTGTAGAAATCTTCGGATAGAAAAATACTTATAAAATTAATTTAAAATCTTACCTGCATAAGCGCAATTAAAGAAAATTAAAACCAATGCGAAAAGTTGCGGCAGATGTCGTTGAAGCATGTCTATATTCTTTTCTTCGTCGGGCAATGAATAAGTATCAAAAATGGACAGGCTTATCGGTAAAAGAAGCCGTGTCCTTAAAAGTGGCTTGAGCAATCAAATGTAAACTAAGATAATCTATCTTAGATAAATTTAGCTTAAAATGTAGACCGCAGCATTTTATGTGTGGATATTTTAAGTATGTGGATTTTGGACTCATTCATAAGATATTGCTCAGCTCTTTCGTTCCTTCTATCCGAACGGTGTTTAAAAAAAAAAAAAAAAAAAAAAAAAAAAAAAAATCGATTTTCCATTTTACTATGGTTACATTCCAAAAACAGAAACTTGGTGAATTTTATTCGAGCATTTAAAGTAATTAGTGGCTAATGTTCGATCTTCTACTTTGGTACGTTGCAGGACTTGACACGACTTACTCGCATTTTGCAAATTTTACTTTCTTTTATTTCCAAAGCATTTTCTGATTAATCGGGAAAGAATCAATCAATTTTGTGACAATATAATTTTAAATGTTGAGTTCCGCGAAATATGTGTGCCGGTGTTGCCAATCAAAATGAGCAAGTATCAATTCCATCTTGATCCTTGAACTACGAGTACCTTCCACAAGGTCGATAGAACCGAAAGCTCAGTATTTTTCTTCAACATTTAATTCAAATGCTATAATAATTCCAGATTTCACTGAATGCTTAATTGACGGAAATTTAAAAAAAAATAAAAATTCTTTTGGTATCTTTAAGGGGTATCAGCAAACCCTATACCGACAATGTTAATTGGCCATTTTCGATGTACCTTTTTTCAAAATCTGCTATAGATGTACGCTTGAAATTTTTTGTGTAATTAAAGTATACCTATCTGATTATACTGAAACGAGCTTTTGAAACATTTTGAATTTTAGATTAATTTACAGAATATTTTGTTAGGCATAGTAAAAATTAGCACACATACAAAAAACAATTTTTTAATTTTTTTCCTTAGTTTATCAAAAAAGCTCATTTTAGTAAATATTAGAAAACCTAATAAATAAGGAATAAAAATTTTAGATACATGTGAGCAGTAGTTCCTGAGAAAAGGTACATCGAGTATAAAAAAATCACGTTTGGAGAAAACCGCTTTTTTATGTCAAAAATTCTCATTTATCAAAGCATTCGATGACAAATTTTAAACTAGAACTTTTACAGTTCTAATTTTCATAGAGATTAAAGAATGGTATTTTTAGAAAGATAAAAGTGTACAGAATTCGAAATGCAAAATCCGAAATCACCATTTTTTGAAGATTTTTGGGTTCCAACACCCCTTAAGCATAAGCTTTCAAATAAAAATTACAGTAAATTCGTTTTACACATATGAATTTCCAATAAAATCTAAGCCAGCGGTTCTCAATAAGAAATCAGTAACACCTTAACTAACTTCTACGCTTCAAACTTGTTATTCAGGCTTGACTTTTGCGACGTGACAATATTTAGTGGAATAACATGTCTTTAGTTGCCAATCTGATAATACAACGACAATTTTGTATAACGCACAGCAGCCAATAACGTTAACGAAGCTTGTCATTGCACATGTGTGAAGCAACTTCAAAGCTAGCGCGAGACGCTACTCTACGAACACTCTCCTATCAGCTCATTCAGAGCTTCGACTTATCAGAGAAGGACTGTGGTTGTTTTCACTGCCTAAGGACTTTTCCTTCTTACAGTTTAATAGAATGCTATGCCATCTTTAGTTTAACATCCTGATTCCTGCTTTGCTATCTTAAGTTTTACCTTTGCTTATTTATGCCTGAAATATATTATGCCATGTATTTTCGAGATAGGTGCTTTATACCATGCCAAGACAGACAGACTGTTAATAGTTTATGCTTCTCACATATGCTTATTGTTTTTTAGATTATGTGCCTTGCTATCCTGACTTCATCGCTACCATGCTTATCTGAAGATTGATTTCCCTCGATAATGCTTATCTAGATGACGGAATACTTTGATTGTGCCTTCACTACTCAGTACCATGCGCATTATTGCTTAGGTAAAGTATGCTTTGCATTTTTCTTAATAATCACCTCCAGGAATTGATGCTTAGAGCATCATCTCTTTCTCACAACCGCAATTAGCTATGAGCGCCAGTTTTAACTACAAGTCAAGACTACGTAGTCGATGTTTGTCGTGATCTAAGTTCAAAGTTCAAAAATAATAAGTTTGAAAAGACGAAGGGGTAGCTAAGAGCTAACGCACTTTTCTCCTATGCAAGAGATGGCATGGGAGAAAAGAGCGTTACCTCTTAGCTACCCCTTCATCTTTTCAAACTTGTTATTTTGAACAAGCTATTCTGTTTAACCTATCCTGTTACAGCTATTCTGAATTGGCATGGGCGGGTTCGAAACCCGCTCGTGGAGTTATTTTTAAAAATCGTGCTATTATGTAAAATGTATTCAAAGTATGTAAAATGTCATGCCAAACACGTGATTTAAAAGCTCGTTGCCACAAACACAATAAATAACTTTGAAAAAATAGGGTCGTTGCCACAAAATAAAAATGAAAACTTTGGTGATGTCATTCCGTCAACGTCATCCCATCCATCCACGTCACTTCCGGTTATCATGTGATCAGTGATGGCGGAGACCACGCCCCTTTTCTGTGACGTCACTTCCGTCACCTGGTCACGGTGGTTACTACTATCGATGTGTACATAGATAAAGAGAGTGTGCAATGCCATTTTTGTGCAATTCTATGACTTTTTTTTAAGTGAAAATAGTTCGATGTATACATGGATGCCAAGTTCTGCAATTCTTTGTCTGGTAAAAAAAATATTTACGGGTACCCCTTGGCGAAACTTGGTAAGCCAAAATAACAAGACAAAGAATTGCACAAACTAGGTATCCATGTGCACATCGAACTATTTTCACTTAAACATACATCAGAGATTGCACAAACTAGGCTTTGTGCACTCCCTTGAGTTTGTCCATGTACACATCAAACTATTTTCACTTCAAAAGTCAAGGAGCAGCCAACAAAAAATATATAATCTCAATAAACTACATTTTAAATCAAACAATGGAATAACATAAAAAAGGAAATTCATCTTTGCACTACACAAAGGAAATATCTAGTTACCTTATTTACGAATTCAAGTCAAACAAAATTCCTTAACAGCATCCAAACACTTCTCAAAATTATCTAAACTAGAATCTGTATACTGGCGTCGCCACATAAATTCACAAAATAAGAGTCAAATTATCCTCTGTAATGACGTTCGACCATATGCATTTCCTTCCTACAAACAGGACACCTAATAATGTCTACTAAGTAAACCTTGATTTACACAGCAGTCAAGTAATGCTCTTTTCCCCTTTCTTTCCAAATTGTACAGAAACTTCAAATTAATCTTACCACAGTCGGCAAATTTACCGTCTAAACCACGAAACAAGCAATACACTTCCTAACCAACATACATACACCACAAGCCCTTACCGCAACCAATTATGTCATAATAGGGTTTCCATAAAATACAACTACCCAGGCTACCATAAATGAAACAACAACTTGGAGATAAATGAAACAACTTCGCGATAATACAAGGGGTACCCTTAAGTCAACTCTAACCACCAATTTAAGTACAGTCAAAAGTCGTTAATTCGGACACCCATAATTCGGAATGATCTATAATCCGGACCTCAAAACTAAAACCTTTCTGCGCATGCGACGCATTGAACCATGCGCATAGGCGTTCACGCGTGCGCGTAAGACCTTTTACGACTGCTCATATGAGTGTGCGCAAGTGCAGAATACGTTTTCGCGTGCGCGTTTTATGTATAATGGACATATAAGCTAAAATTATCTAATTATCTATTTCAGTTAATGTTGATGATTGCGTTGTTCCTTAATTTTCGAATTGGATCCGGCTTATTATTTTTTGCAGACTGTAAGAGCAATTTTATAAAAAGTAACTTAAACTTTCGATTATATCAAATAGAATTTCCGATATATATTTGTTAATATGTAAAGGATCTAAAGCGAAAGTATGTTTTGAAATCCGAAATCTGTTTATCAATTTCACGCTGCTTGGCGGGGTAAACGCGGCGGCGGGCGCGTAATGAATTGGAAGTTGATCTGTCAGCACTATCCTTATCTTCAGCGCAGATGTTTTTATTTTATTTGGCTTATAATTCCTTCCCAAATGTAGTATTTCATCTCGATATGCTCCGTCTTTGATATGATTTAAAACAAGTTCCTCGTCATTATAATTCGCTTCCGATAGCGAAGAAAGTGACAGAGGTTATCGAAAACGAAAAAATTTCGATTGACAAATTAGTCGGTGTTCTCGACACAGCAATTATAGGACTTGAACAGCGGACTTTGTAACTGAACAAGAAATTATGTCTGTTTAATAGAATTAAAGAGAAAGTATTATCACATGAACCGAAGCAAAACTTAAACAACTTACATTGAAAGAAATGTTTAATAAAGTAAACAAATAAATATTAAGCTTTTTCTTTTTGTAAATTTTCGTACCCTTTAGATTATAATTGTTCTTTATTTCATAAATTACGGTTTCATATTTTTAATTTTACAATTTCTGCATGCCATCTTACGAGATTTAAACTGATGATCTATAATCCGGAAAAATCGATAATCCGGAATCGCCGAAGTCCCGACGAGTCCGGATTAACGACTTTTGACTGTATATCTTTTATTTTTACCCATTCTTAGAGCATGTTACATGCCAACATCCATAACTGATATGTTGTATGAACTTGATATCTGTACCAGTATGTAACATATTATCTGACCTTAAAAATGCAACTCGAAGTTCCAGTTTATCAAGATTTTTGCTTGAAATGCACCTTCACTAAAATAATTCTCTTCTGTTTATTTGAGAAGATAATAAAAATCAATTTTGATCCATTAACTACTCACTATAAATGGAAATGAAAAAAGTATGTTCAGGGACTGGAATCTTAACCAAGATGTTATTACAGTTGTAAAGAAAGGAGGCAAAAGTGGAATGTTTTGACACGAGATGCTCGTTTTAAAGCACTGGATGTGGTAGAAATGATGCATAATGTATGTTAATTTTATCTCACAATCTCTGACATGTGTCATAAGATGAGCTTTGCTCATCATGCAGGCCGGAATGTGTCCTAGATAAACAAATACCTCTGAAATATTAATTTATGTTTAGAGATGCATTCACAATTCTGTTCATAAACACATTTATCTGATAGGTATTTTGTTACAATCAATTAGAGACTATAACAGTATGACCAATAAATTTTATAATTAAAAACCAAACCATTTATAATTTTGTGATTAGCTTGCTACTTTAAATATAAAACACATTCTAATACAAGTATTTTATACCTACGTCGATTTTATGTATTTTCACTAAGGTAATTTATCTCGCAGACGTTGCCCAATAAAGGTAGCTGTTTAGTATTACACTCTTTATCAGTTAAGAACTAATAAAAAGAATGAATATGTAATTAACATTAAGAATGAGTTATTTCTAATTGCATGGTTACGGTTTATCTGGCAAATAGCATTAAATAGTGTTGTAAAAGTCCATACATAAATATAAATATTGTTTGTCTGAAGGAGATTTGTAGATGAATAAATCTGCATCGTATGTGTTTGTAAATACACTTATACGCATTATTTTGAGTATTAAAGGCAGGGATATTTCTGCAGGAAAACTTATTGCTTAGCAAAACATTATTTGCAGTGAATTATGTATGAATATTAAATTCTCTGATTACTTATGAAATACAGAGACAAGATATTTAAACAAATTTTGGTATTTCCATATTAACAAAATCATCTTTGGTGCAATTTTTTTTTTTATAGCTGAAAAGGTGAAAGTCACTAATTGGCTGGAAGGTGGCAGTTTTTATACATTTTTTTTTTTAAAGATTCAAAAACTAACAATATTTCTCATATATTCGCGAAAAACACACACACACACAAAAAGAATATACTTTAGCAAATGAAATTATAAATTTTAATTATTAAATAAGGATGACGTGTTACATTAAGGGAATGAAACATTTAGATTCATCTTCCAAATCCTTCTAGCAATTTTTTTCTGCTTTCTTCTTGCCCAAGCATACAGCAATCTGTTTTGCATTAGAGGGACATCACAGACTCAGCATAGTGCAACACTAGGCTATCTACCAAACTCATTTCCTCAATATTTTACCTCTTTAGAGAGTTTTTGACAAAATTCTGTACTTTTACACTTGTGCTTGATGTACTAAGTATTAGAAATAAATTAGTAAGTTAATCTAAAGCTATTTTAGGAAAAGTTAACTTTTATGAACTTGTATCAAGTGGCACTAGGCAACACTCATTCCATACCATACATTTTTATACGCATATTAGTTTTTAACTGAAAGCAAAAAAAAAAAAAAAAAGTCTTTTCAAATACAGGAAAAGGTATTTAAAACATGCAATTGCAAACTTTCACAATACAAATTTCAGAATTTTTATATTTAAATATCTCCTTAAATTCAATACATTTATTTCTTTAGCATTTAAAGCTGTAAATAATGACAAAAAATATTTATAGCAATAATTAAAAAAGGATTTATTAAATGAAACACAGTACAACAGATGAAATGTTGCTTCAAACAATCCCATGAAATAAAATTAAAATAATTTAACAAAATTATATTCTGTTAAGTACACAATTTTGCCAGATTAGAATTCTTATTTCTGTTAGACGAGTTCTGTTTGTGAACATCAGTTGAATACGCTTTTTACACAGAATATTTCTCGAGTTAAAAATAACAATGGAGACAATAAGAATTTTTTCAGATTCTTTCCTATTCTTAAGTTGCATTATAAAAGAAATATTCTGCTATGCTCCCTCAGTGAATTTCAAAAATTTAGGCTCTCCATTTCTCTTAATGTTGTTCTATGCAAATACTTTCAAAACAAAGCAGGAAATATAAGATAAATATGAGACTACTTTGGTACATGCATATAGTGTTAACGCATATAGAAGGCCAGTGTGTTTGTCCTTGCAAAATTAAAATTATGTTTTCGTCTGGCAATTTAAAAACAAAATGTTTCTTAAAGACATATTTAGTAAATAACTGTTTCTTACATTTATGAAAAAGATATTTTTCAAATGCCTTTTTACATAGTTATGCATATGGGATTTTTCTACAGCACTGACAGATGTAAAAATTAATTGAAAGCTTAATGAAGTTGAGAAACTTTTTATGCCTAATCGCACAACTAGGGCCATTCCTAGGCCATTGATTGCCTGTGTATTTTCTTAAGCTTGCCACCGTCAAATTTAAAGAAAAAGCTCAATCATTAATATTTTTTTTTATTTCATACTCACTAAGTACTTACACAGGAGAAATTGCATAAAAAGTACTTGCATATGAAAAGTACTTACAATGAATTAAAAATATTTAGTTACTTTATTGTCAGAATCCTGCCACCTGCATACTTTTACATGCGCACCTCCCGTTAGGTATGGCCCTGCACAAAACTATATTTAAATTTTCTCTTAACATAAAAAGAGCCAAGTTTAATAAAATGCACCTGCAAGCTATAGAACAGATAATAAACAGGGACATTAAGTATAAACAGTGCGTAGCTAGGGTGGGGCAAGGGGGGGCATGTGTCCCGGGGCACAACATCCAAAGGGCGCCAAATTGATGCTACGAAATTTTTTAATGAAATGTTTTCCATTCTTGGCACACAGAAAGGGGCACAAATTCTTCAGTTGTCCCCGGGTGCTGGAAACTCTAGCTACGCCCCTGAGTATAAATGTATCTGAAACATTCGCATGGAGACATAAGCAAGGAAAAAAGTATATATATATATATGAAAGCAATAAAATTAGCACAATTTTTTGATTTTTTATAGATGAAACTTATCAGGTGCAAGTTGGCAGTATTCACGCCTAATTTTAGAAAGATTCCCAAACTGTCAATATTTATTATAAATTGGTAAAAATTATGAATACATCAAAAGAAGATATAATTGAGAATAGAAATTTAAATTACAAAATAAGGATTACATGACGAATTAAAAAAGTAAAACACATTTTTTTTTCAAATCTTTCTGTTGTTATTTTGCACTTTTTTCTTTCCAAAGTACACACCTGTTTTTGCCAAAACAAATGGAGAATTTGGCTCATGCAGCACTCAGCTAACAAAAAAAAAAACATTTCTTTATTGTTCTTTTTACATAATTTACATTAAAACTCTGTTTTTGCAGAATTGTGGAAAAATTCCTCGCAAATTATGCAAGGCCATATTTTAAAACTAAGAGAAAAATATCATGATTTGTTTATAAAAACTCTTGGACTTTGGAATACAACAAAAAACGAATGCACACAAAATGGCAGAAGTGCTTCATTAAAGGATTATTATAAGCATGATTGCTAGAAGAATGTCTACGCACAATGTTACCAGAGTTTGGCATATACAGTCAAAAGTCGTTAATTCGGACACCCATAATCCAGAATGATCTATAATCTGGACCTCAAAGCTACAAACTTTCTGTGCATGCGTCGCGTTTACGCATGCGTGTAAGACCTTTACGGCTGCGAATATGTGTGTGCGCATGCACATAATACGTTTATTCATGCACGTTTGATGTATAACAGACCGTATAATCTAAGCTAATATTATATAATTCAGTTAACGTTGCAGATTGCGTTGTTCCTTAATCTTTGAATTGGATCCAGTTTATTATTTTTTGCAGACTGTTAGAGCAATTTTATAAAAGTAAGCTTGAAATTTCGATTATGTCAAATAGAATTTCCGATATATATTCACTAATATGTAAAGGATCTACAAAGCGAAAGTATGTTTTGAAGTCCATTAAACAAAAAGTGGAAGTGCTGCAAAAAATGGATAAAGGCATATCCTTTCTTTCTCTAACCATTCCGAAGTCTCTTTATCAACTTCACGCTGCTGTGCGGCTGGGGGGAGGGAGATGCCGCGGCGTGCAATGAATTGGAAGTTGATCTCGATGTACTCCGTCTTTTATGAGATTTAAATCAAATTCCCCATCATTATAATTCGCTTCCGATAGTGAAGAAAGTGACACAGAGGTCATTGAAAACGAAAAAATTTCAATTGACAAATTAGTCGGTATTCTCGACACAGCAATTATAGGACTTGAACAGCGGAACTTTGTAACTGAAGAAGAAATTATGTCTGTTTACAGAATTAAAGAGAAAGTATTATCACATAAAACGAAGCAACTTAAACAGCTTATCTTGAAAGAAATGTTTAATAAAGTACACAAATAAATATTAAGCTTTCTTTTTGTAAATTTTGATACCCTTTAGATAATAATTGTTCTTTATTTCATATCACGGATTCATATTTTTAATTTTATAATTTCTGCATGCCATCTTACCAGACTTAAAGTGATGATCTGTAATCCAGAATCGCCAAAGTCCCGACTAGTCCAGATTTACGACTTTTGACTGTACTGAAAATATGGCAACTTTTATTAAAGGAGGCTGCATTAACACGTAAATGCCACCCCCCCCAAAGAAAGAAAAAAAAAACCTTACTTCCTCAAGAAATTTTGATTTCTTTTCATAAACACTACAAGCTGCATTAGTGGCATCAAAGAAAGCAGTTCAAAGTCAATGTTTTAAACATTCACACATAAGCTGAACACATAAGCTTGCAAAAAATCTCAATGCTAAGCATTCTCAACATTAAAAATGCTAATGAGGAGGAGAGAAATACTTAAATCTTACAGCACTAATGATACCACAAAAGAATATATTTCATATTTTGCACTTTTTTACATAAATGTAATGAAGAGTGGATAACAGTGCAAAATATGAAGGGAATTTCCATTCAAATTAAAATGTTCAACATTTCAAGCTTTCAAACAATTCATGACATAACATGAACAGAAGGAATGACCCATCCATAAAATTTTCTTATTCAGAAAATTATAATCAGTGTCTAACTTTTGATTGTTCGAATATGCTGTTTTAAACTTTCATTACTCATTAAATGCTCGGGATAAGAAAATGCTGCTTTAAATCAGCAGCAGTTTAAAATGACTTGCGACCAATCTTGCAATCATCAGGTTTTTCTCTTGCAGAAAGAAATAAATGATTTATTAAGAATTTAAATGAAATGACAAGTTGAACACACCACATACAAAGACATTTCTATACAGCATGGACAAGTCTTTACTGCACACATAACCAAAGGTTCTTATTAATCTAACTTTTCCACAAAAAACATTAGCCTTCTTATTATGTGTAAACACGAGTCTTTCAATTTTTCTATGGCCCAAACGATTTGTTACACATGTACCTTATGGAGTTCCTCTTTGGTGTGAATACGCATATGGCTTTTTAAATTAGATTTTACAGCAAATGACTTACTACATACCTCACACACATGGGGTTTCTCTCCTGTGTGAAGAAGCTTATGCTTGTTTAAATTACATTTTTGAACAAATGACTTGTTACATACCTCGCACACATGAGGTCTCTGTCCTGTGTGGAGGGGCATATGCTTGTTTAAATCTCCTTTTCGAGTAAAGGACTTCTTACATATCTCACACACATGAGGTTTCTCTCCTCTGTGAAGTAACATATGGTTGTTTAAATGACTTTTTTGAGCAAATGAGTAGTCACATACCTGACACACATGAGGTTTCTCTCCTGTGTGAAGAAGCATATGGCAGTTTAAAGTAGGTTTATGAGCAAATGACTTGTTACATACTTCACATACATGAGGTTTCTCTCCAGTGTGAATAAGCATATGTCTTGTTAATTCACCTTTTTGGGCAAATGACTTATTACATACCTCACACACATGAGGTTTCTCTCCTGTGTGAAGAAGCATATGGTTGTTTAAATTACATTTTTGAACAAATGACTTGTTACATACCTCACACGCATGGGGTTTCTCTCCTGTGTGAAGGAGCATATGCTTGTTCAAAGATTGTTTTTGAACAAATGATTTGTTACATACCTCGCACATATGAGGTTTCTCTCCTCTGTGAATTAACATGTGGTTGTTTAAATGACTTTTTTCAGCAAATGAGTAGTCACATACCTGACACACATGAGGTTTCTCTCCAGTGTGAAGAAGCATATGGCAGTTTAAAGTAGGTTTATAAGCAAATGACTTGTTACATACTTCACATACATGTGGTTTCTCTCCAGTGTGAATAAGCATATGTCTTCTTAATTCACCTTTTTGAGCAAATGACTTGTTACATACCTCACACACATGAGGTTTCTCTCCTGTGTGAAGAAGCATATGGTTGTTTAAATTACATTTTTTAACAAATGACTTGTTACATACCTCACACACATGAGGTCTCTCTCCTGTGTGGAGGGGCATATGCGTGTTTAAATCTCCTTTTCGAGTAAAGGACTTCTTACATATCTCGCACACATGAGGTTTCTCTTCTCTGTGAATAAGTATATGGTTGAATTTAAATGAGGTTTATAGCAAATGTATTATTACTACCTCACAAAGATGAGGTTTTTCCCTTGTGTGAAAAATATATGCTTCTTTAAATCATTTTTTGAGCAAATGACTTGTTACATACCTCACACACATGAGGTTTCTCTCCTGTGTGAATAAGTATATGCTTCTTTAAATTAGATCTTTCAGCAAATGACTTGTTACATGTGTCACACACATGAGGTCTCTCTCCTGTGTGAAGGAACATATGCTTGTTTAAATCTCCTTTTCGAGTAAATGATTTCTTACATATCTCACACACATGGAGTTTCTCTCCTCTGTGAAGAAGCATATTGTTATATAAATGAATTTTTTGAGTAAATGACTTGTTACGTACCTCACACACATAAGGTTTCTTTCCTGTGTGAATAAGTATATGTTTGTTTAAGAATATTGAGTATAAAGTGACAAGCAAGCTTATAAATAAATATAATAAAAGCTCGTATGTTTAAACGAGCTTTTCAAATAAATAACTTATTACATATCTTACACACAGGGGGTTTCTCTCCTGTGTGAAGAAGTATATGGTTTCTTAAATTACCCTTTAGAGTAAATGACTTATTACATATCATTATATAAGGTTTCCTTCCCACATGTCTAAGCATATTCATTATGAAGGTGCTCTTTCTTCCAAATAAATACTTACATACCTTACACACACATTTTTTTCTCCTATACGTACATGCAGATTCTTGTCTAAAGAACCATACTGTCTAAATGACTTCATATATGAAGTTTCTTTCCTGTTTCGATATCTATATGAAAGTTTAAATAGCGCTTTAGTCTAAATGACTTGTTACACACTGCATAAACGACGTTTCTCTTCTGTGCGAGTAAGCATGTGAACTTCATTCACAGTTATCTGCAAGTGATTAATTACAAACCTCACATTATAATGATATTTTATCCTGCATTAAGAAGTAAATGCAGATCTTATTGAGGCTTCGGTGTAAATGACTTTTACCAACCTCAAGTACGTGAGGTTTTTCTGTTGGGTGAGTAGGCATAAACTCATTTAAGAAGTTTCATTTTCTACATGAAAATTTCCAATACAAAATGTACATATATTCGAAAAATGACAGGGACTCTTTGGAAATATAACCGAGAATTCATCACTAATTCATGGCATCCTGGGAGATGTTAGACCTTTCAGGACTGAACCTGGGATGTTTAGATTAAGCAAAGTAGTTGGTGCATGCACATATAATATAAAACACTAATACAAATTTAAATAGTAGACACATCTGATGCGACATGCACATGGCATTATTGTCAGGAAAAATAAGCTTGTTTAATTTCGAACTAATATGATTTCTCTCACCTTAGCTCTCATAAAGCTTAGTTTGTTCATTCATTGCTCCAAATTACATATAAAAGAGATGAAACCATTTTAAAACTACAACAATGCCAGGAAACATCCAAAGCCTAAAGAGAAGGAATATGTGCCCTTGCGAAATTTTCCGTGTACAAACATCCACCACTCATTTCTGCGCAATTATTTGTCATCAGACAGACAGACAAAGTAGACAGATGTCTTGTTTTGCACTTGCTAAGTCGTTTTGCACCGATGTGCGAAATATCAATCTTAGGTGTGAAGGAAAGGCAAATAGAAAACGGGTTCAGAGGAGGGAAAGAAGGAAGTTAATTCTGTGCATGCGGAAAACTTTTCTCCCTTTATACCCAATATTTTCAACCTCTTCACAAATTTTATCAACAGGACAGTCCATTGGGATCCTCTAGATGCAAACCCTACCCCACTTTTCGAATTTTTGACGTCACGGAAATATCGACTAGTTTTATGGCAAGACGCCTACCCCACTTTTGACAACTACGGCGCGCTTTCGAAAGAATTGTGCTGCTAAATAGTGTGTTTAGGTGCTAATTGTAAGATTTTCGCAATTTAAATTATTACGAGTGGCAATTTACGCAAAATCTTTAGTGAATGGTTATTGTTTATCGCCGTAGTGTATTTGCGGAAAGAAGAGAATAATTCACTGCTGATGTATACATTAACAGTATGAAAAATCTGGAAGGTGATACTCGGCAAATAAAGTGCTGCATTTTATCGCAAATTTAGCGACCCAGTTAAAACAAACGAAAGTGTCCGTTAAAACGTATCCACATCTGAAGCCACTATACAAAAATTTTATGTGTGCCAATACAGCAATTTAAATAAAGAAAACAATTACAGAAAATTTCAGATCCAGGAATAAGAAAGAATTGTAGTGCCTCTATGTGCTTAAAAACTAGGAAGCATTCTGCAGACTTTCGTGCCAAAATCAAGGTTGACAAATAGATTAATACATTGTAATGTTTCTTTTAGTGTATTATTTGAAAATTATTAAAATAACTTGGAACAGTTGTTTAATTGCTTAAAACAGCAATAAAGTTCATTTATAAAGATATACAAGGAACTTCATAATTCATTGCTTTGGTGAACAATTTTACTAAATTACCTAGCTTTATAACATTAAATATCTTCGTAACTGTGGTATTATGCTCTGTTTTATAAAAGCTTAACTACTTTATTCATTTGTTATACATTAAGATATTTTCTGATTTATTTACTAAATGCGTAACCAATTATCAGAATTACTAATGTATTAAGAATTTCCATACATGCTTGTGCAGTGTGAATGTATGTTTGTGTAATGAACTTTAATTTTCATGAACGAAAAAGAAAAAAAAAAGAAATACAATCTCCGAATAAGTACTTTTTGTTTTCCATGTCCCGTGTTTAGCTGTAAAAGTAAATTCACTTCAAGTATGTGTCTGTGCAATTTTGACAATGTAAATGCTGAAATGTATGTACAGTAAAAACTCAACAAAAAAATATCCGGAAAGCTCTTGAAATTTTGGATAGCCGAGCATATAAAAAATGAAATATTGTGATAAGTGAATGGAGGAATAAACTACTAGTCTAAAACCATAAAAACAGTTCATCTTATTTGTATCAACTTGACTATCAAAAGTCAATATTTAATATTAGCACGATTTTGAAAAATGTATGCTGCTGATCTTTGAATATGATAACGTGTGATTTTACAATGGTTGTTATGGGATTAAGACTGCAAGTTGAGACTTTAAATATGAACAATAGTAATCTGAAAATTTGAAGTAGTAATTTTATATGCAACAATCTCTGCCAAATAACTTCCATGTTTTAAGTAATTAAAAAATATATTTTTAACCACTTATTATTAATTTTATAAAGTACATTATATAATTTAAATTTTATTTACTTTCATCTATTTTTAATGTTTGCCATTATAAATTTCATACTATGTACTTTTTAAGATTTCATAGTTGCTAATTAAACTTCCTTTACAATTTATTTAGTTATTTTATACATACATTTATATTTTATGTAAGAAAGGGATTTACGTGCAACAGATATGCAGTGAAAATCATTTAACACAAAACTGAAGGGACTGAAATATTTTTTCGTGTTAAAGAATATTGAAAGAAAAAAAAAAAAGCATATATTCAATAAAATTAAGCTTATTAGAGTACATTTTATTTACATAGATATGTATGTATGCATGTATTTAATAAAAACCAATGAAACAAAAACATCCACAAGAACTTAATAGAATTTAATACAAAATTTTGAAGTTTTTGAAAAACAAAACATTGAGTTTTGGGAAAATAATCTGATATTTTTCTTTGCATTGTCTTTTTTAGCATCAAATTGTTCAATGTCGAACATTTTGTTATTCATTTCACCATTGGAATGTGCGTCGAAATAACTGTCCATACTTTTTATGATATTCCTCATTTCAGATAATGTGGGAACAGGAACTGCATTCATTTTATTTTCGTCATCAGAATCTGCATCAATGATATCTTTTTAGCTTGAACAAACTCCAAAATAACTTTGCCATAATTGGGGCTGTACACACATTATCATAAACTACTGCAACGAATTCTTCCGATAGTACAGTAGGACAGTTCATTAATACAGAAACTTTCTCAATTATTTCATTAAGTGTCAGCTCAGTTTCAATATCCTACTTCTCCATTTCTTTCGGTGCCAAAGAATCTGATACTTTTGAGAATCGTGTAATGAAAATAATTTTCATTCATCCTTGGAGTCGCTGAATTGTATGCAGTGCAACATATGAGCCAAACTCACTAATTTTTACTCACACTGCCATGTACTCATCACTGAATTCCAAAGCTAACTGATGAGAGATGAGATGTTTGTGTGGCGTTTGTAGACGTGGAAGGCGAAAGTACCGTAGATAAACAAAACTGGCTCGTGTCACAGGCTATTCCGAGGGTATTTCAAAGCCAAATTAGCCTCTTTTCTACGAAACATGTGAAACCACCTCTCTTTCATTTCACTCCCGCTTAAATCTTGCCTGCGATGCCAGTGTTTTCTGTATTTTGTTCATTTCCAAAAAGGATATCTTTTCGTGTTTTAAGCAATTTTGTTTCGTGTTAAGAGAAACAAATGCATGAAAAACATAGTAGTTTGTCAGGACCGTTTGCATTATTCATGTTAACCGATATTTCGCGTTAAATGTATTCCACTGTATACAGATGTGTTTGGACTATGTATATACAAATAATTTTTTAAAAGGAAAATTTATAATCCTTCCAAAAATTTTTGTGCATTATGCTGTTAAAAAATTGATCAGTGTAAAATATATAAAGAAAGAAAATTTAGGACCAATTTTTCAGAAAGAATAAAAAAATTGAAATTCACATTAACTTGATAAAATCCTGTTCAGACTAGTAAATCTTTTTAAATTGGAAGATATTTTTAATGATTTTACTTCCCCCCCCCCCATTTTCCTTTGCTACTGCTGTTTGATAAGAGGTTCTAGAAAAGTTTTGTGTTAAAATTATTTTGAACTTTCAAAGATTTTCCACTGCAGGATTTTAATTTTTTCTACATTTTTAAGGGCATGTTTTCTTTTCTTTTTCTTTAGATTCTTTTAGATAATTCT